TTTTATTTTTTTAATCAGATTCGAATTGTTTTTATTATTATATATAATTAGAATAGGATTAATTATTTTGCTTTTAAATCCTCAATACAATTAAGTCATTTTATTATAATATATAAATCCTTTCTCAATATATTCTTAAAAAATTAAATAATCTTTCTTAAAATAATAATTCTTATTTCCAGACTATTTATTATTATAACTATAATATATTTTTTTATAAACTAAATATACTTTTAATACTTTGAGATTAATAATAATATTATCAATAATTATATTAACAATATTAAAAAAAGAAATCTGAATTAACTTACAAATCGCAATTTATAGTATTTCTATAATATTAAAATCAAAAAGAATCCTTTTTATCTCAATTTTTTTTACAATCCTAAAATTTATTATAACTTATTCCTTCAAAAAGAAAATAAAATCCTTCAGGATTTCAATCACTTTTTCGAGCTTGTTTACCTTTTGAATTATTGAAATACTCTTCTTTTCCTATATCTTTTTAATTGAAATAACAGATTCTAGTATTTTATTAAAATCAGAATCCTTATTATTATTATTATTGAGAAAGATATATTGAAACTCAGATTCTATATATTATATTATTTAATAATATACTTTATTCTAATCCATTATACTAAACTATTTTATATCATATTTGATTATAATAATATATCTTCGAGAGATTTTGGATAATATACTTTTGAGGAAAAATTCAATAATTTTGTTTTTTATTGAGGCTTTATCCTTAATAAATCATTATATAATTTAATTAAATTATTGAATATAGTAACTAAGATTATTAATTCCTATTCCTTTTTCCTTTTTATACTTTTTGATAAGTTTTTATAAATAATTATAGAAATATATCTTCTAAATAAAATCATTATTGAAATATTCTTTAAAAAAAATAGATTTGAAATATTTCTTTTAATTTTATTTTTTTATTTGCTATTCCTTTATAGTTTTAATCTTTTCTCGAAATGAGTAATTCATTTAAAGAGGTATACATATTCGGAAGTTTTCGGCTTATATTCGATAATTTCAAAGAAAGTATTTTATTTCCTTATATTAATCAATAGTATTAGAATCTTTAAATTATAATATTCTAATTGTTTCAAATAAAGGAATTAGAAGTATAAAAATCTTAAAGAAATAGTTCAAATAGATAGCAAGTTACTCAATATTAAGATTTTCTTTTATTTATTTTAAATCAAAATTTTTTTTGGGTTTTTTATTATCACTTGTTTTTCAATTAATTAAAATTATAATTAATTTCGGAAAATCCTTTTTTTGGTTATTAATATTAGAAATATTGATAATAAATAAAAAAATCAAAAACTTAGAGTTTGTAATAAATAGTTTATTTTTTTGAAATTTAATTCCAAAATCAGGAGTAAATATATTATTAATTAATTATTGTTTTGTATATAGTTATATTGATATAATATAAGAAGTAATTAAATAATTGAATAAATAATACTTCTTTATATAATATAAATACAAATTCTTTTATTTCCTTTCTTAACAATTTTATTAAAATTTAATAAAATTATATTTTCCGAAACTTTTATTTCTTTAAATCTTATAAAAAAGGAAAAAGGTAAAATTATAAATTGATATTTTATTATAAAAAGTCTTAATTATAGATTTCTTTTAAAAATGTTTTTGAATACTCTAAGCTTAAATTGAATAGATTGCTTTTGTAAATAATCTTTTATTTGAATTTAATAACAATCCTTCTCTAACCTCACTATAAATAATTTTGAATTTTTTAAAATAATTAAGTTCTATTTAGATATAAACAATATTAGAGAATATAAAGGTTTTTCAGAAAACTCAAAATTCCTTATATTGAAATACAAGAAATAAATACTATTCAATCTTTTCCAAATCTATTTTATAAAAAAAAACTTTTCTTTTCAAAATCAATTGTTTTATTTAAATTCCTATAAATATTACTAAAAAGATTTTTATGAATTGTTTTTGTAATCTTTTTATAATAATAAAATATAATCTATTTATAAACAATTTTATTTTATTTTAGATCTATACAAAATTATAATTTGGTTTTTTGGAAGAAAAGTATATCCCCTTTTTTATCCATTATCGAATCAATATTATTTGATTTTTTTATAATACTAAATAATTTCTTATTCCCTTATTTTCTATCGACTTTTCCAAACTAATGATTTTCTGTTTTTTAAAGTAATTCAAAAGTTCAGGTTTATATATAGCTTTTTAATCTTTTAATGTTTTTCTTTTTGTATAGATTATTAATATAAAAAAATAAAAGGTAATAGAATTATAAAATAGTTTTTTATAAATACTATAAACAAGTTATTGAGATATAATACTTTTAACGAAGAAAAGAAGGAGTAGATACTATATAGCGCGTTACAAAGCATACAAGAAAATAAATGGAAACTGATTGCTTTTTCTAAACTATATAAAGAAGACCTATAAATACTAGCTACAGAAAGAGGTCACGTGACCAGTACCAAGTTTCGCCCACATTATTTACAGCTCCTTCTTTTTTTTATTATTCTATTATAACTATCTTTAGATACTAAAAATTTGTATAAAAATAGTTTTTAATTTAAATCAATATATCTTTAAAGATGTTTGTATAAAGAATGATATATTAATATATATATAAGCTTTCCTTACTCTATTTTGTTATTTAGTTTTATAATATTCAAATTATATTTAATATTTTAAATAAAATCCTTATAGAATTTAATAGTAGTTAGAGGAAGATATTTATTAATATCTTTAAAATTAGTTAAATATATAATTCATAATATAATAAATAATATATCTCAGATTTCACAATCTTTTAAAAGCTTCTTATAAAGTTCAGATAATATAGTTTTTTCTTTATTCATATATTCCTTTTAAAAGTATTAATACAATATAAAAGATTTATTTACAATATAATAAAATTGATTTTTATTTTTTCGAATATTATGATTATTCCAAATATCCATATATTCATTTACTTCTTTTTTTATTCATCTAATATAAATTATAAGAATTATAATTCAATCTTTATACTAATCTTTATAAAATTATTCATTTTGTATCAATTTATCGAAATAATTCTAAATAATATTAATAATTGATTATATAATAAATAAAAAAACAAAAAAATTTAAAAAAAATTAGATTAAATATAATGGATCAAAAATTTTTTTCAAGTACCTTTATAAAAAAGATAAGGGGTAGGAATATGTACTTATTATTAATATAATAATAATATTTAAAGCTTTTACTATCAGCTTTTAATATATTGATTTTTAATATTCTTTTTAAACCAAAAGCAATCTTTAATCTCTTTATACTTTTATTAACTTTATAAGAAAATATAAAATAAACTTTAATTATAAAGGGAAACTCTATTCTTCTATTTATTTTAAAAAACCTTGATATAATATTATTCTTAGAATATTATATTAGATATTGATATATAACTAATCCAGAATATCTATTAGCTATTTTTATATATACTTATATAATAAATTGTGAATACATATTAATATATATATAAATCTTAATTCTAATAATAATAAATTTATTATATCTATCAATAAATCAAAAAAAGTTTGGATTGGGGATTTAATACTCTTTATAAACAAATTAAAGTTTTTTAGTATATTAAAGAATCCCTTTAGAATCTATAATTCATAATATATTGAATAATATATTTTTAAAACAAGTATAGAATATTAATATAAAAATACTTTAAAGTTTTGAATAAAAGAAATAATATTATATTTTGAAATAAACTCCCCCTTTCTTTAAAAATAGATATACAATAATCTTTTATTATAATTTTAAATATATCTTAGTTTAATATTATCTTTTAGAATATTAAAAAATCATTAATCTTGTTTATATTGTTTTTTAAATATAAGCTTTTTTTTAAATCTTAATAATAAATATATACTTTTAATATAACTTATAGAGATATTATACCCTTCAGTTCTAAAAACTATTTCCATCTTTTGATTATTAAATAATAAAATGAAAAATATTGCAATTTGACTTTTTATTATAGGATTGTTATAATCGATTCTAGGTTTTCGAATTAATCCCCAAGTATTGAGATATTTGCCTATAATTCTAACTACAATTTTAATATCAAATTTAGAAAAAAGTAATTATTTGATATTATCAATATTATACCCATCATTATATTATTTACAGATTAACTCCTTATATCGAGTTAATATAAATTAAGGTTGAATTATTATAATTATATAAATAGAATTGAATATAATGAGTAAGAAAAAATGGGAGAAAATCTAAAGTTTATAAAGGAATAATATATTAGATTTAATAAAGTCTAAAGGGAAGAGGGGTAGGGAATTATATAGATAGTATGGTAGCAAGTGATATTGATTCTTATTCATATATACCTAAATACTAAATATACTTTTAGTTTAAATAGAATTCTATTTTTGGGGTTTGTACCAAATCATTCAAATCGGTCTCAGTAGGGGAGCCGAATTAGTCAGCGACAATTCCTACCCATGTTGTGGAGAGCGAGGATCCTCCACAATAGCGCTACCCCATAGGGATTTCACATCGAGATTTCACATCGAGATAATTTCCGATCGAAAGGCAAGCCCGTCAGCCCTAGGATAAATTTTAGAAGGATTCGGCGACGATATAGAAACATCAAAGCGTCCCTAGCATATATTATATAAAAAATACGCTGACTCTCCTCCATGCCTCGGTACCGCCCCTTCATTTCGGATGGGCCGAGAGTTCTCCAGAAAACCACAACATATGTTTCAAAACGTGTCTCATTAAAACACAACAACTACAAAAGAAACATTTTGTTGCACGTCTGCGACAGCTGTCAAATACTCAAAAGTGGATTTTAGTGGGCGGATTTGTCGTTTGTTGCACATCTATGACAGCTGTCAGACGTGTCAATTGTAGAGTGGGGTTTCGCAGGTGGTGATTGAAGCTATCCAAAAAATTAGTATTTGCCGCAAAATCATTCAAATTTCACACACAAGCGATGGAGGAGAGTTCCAATAGCCAACCATAGTAAACAGGCTTTCATTGTTTTCCTAAAGATATAAAGATACATTTCGTACCGCAACAACGGTGTCTAGTCTATCCCAATATTTCCAAACCCCAAACACCTCATCAATCATCCATCGCATATAATTCTTTATGGTAGGCAATAACCACCATCACAAATGATATCAGTTCCAGTGCAGTAGCTTGAAGCATCACTGGCGAGGAAAAGGAATGCACCCTTCAACTCATGAGCCTCTCCTTCTCTACCCATGGGAATCTTGTCCTTCCAAGTAGCCTTTGTTTCAGGTGGACAAAATTCAGAAATCTCAGTTGCAATGTAACCAGGGGAGACGGTATTGGAGCGCGCGAATCCAACCCATTCTACTGCGAGAGATTTACCTGTGATTCAATTAGCATTTCGTAAGTCGGATTTGGAGTGTATACGAACATAAATGTATGACACCGGCCTTTGCAGCATTGTATGCAGCTTGCAACTGGGGAATGTTGACAATGTGCCCACTCATACTTGCGGTAGCCACAAAGCTTCCATACTTGAATCCTTCCAGTTTCTTTCCGTCAATAGTAGTACCCTCTTTCTTTTGTCTGCGCCAATGCTGGCCTGCAGCACGAGCACAGTAGAATGTTCCATCTAAATCTGTTGTTACAACCTTCTTGTAATGATCCAATTCTCCGTCAAGGGCAGGACCCTGAATCCATGGAATTCCAGAGTTTGCGATAAAGATATCGAGACGACCATTGAGATCAGTTACGGCGGTGTTGACAGCCTCTTCCACGGCTTCGTATGAGGTAACATTCACTTGGTATGCTTTGCCTATTTATTTGAATCGCGGTTAGTTATAGTCGCTACGTGAACCTGGCTGATTTCGGCATGTGCGAGTACTTACAAGTAACACCGTATTCCTTCTCAATTTTCTCCGCCTCTTGAATAGCCTTCTTGTTGCTATTGTACCAAATAGCGACATTAGCTCCAGCTTCAGCGAGAGCATGCGCAACGGCGAGTCCGATACCTGCGCCTGCACCAGATACGATGGCAGTTCGTCCTTTCAGTGAAAACATGGGCAGCACCTTGGATGTATATGTGGGTGCCTCAGTGAGGTTGTGCTTAAACTTTCCATCGTTCATTGCTTCGCCGGCCATTTTTGCGATTTGAGGTGTTTGTAGTTTAGAAAAATGTGAAGGGTAGTGATTTGAACTGAGGAGAGCAGAGTTGATGAGACGAGCTTGTGTTTGGAGAGCGAACAAAGGTGGCAGACACGGAAGTAGATATGGAGGAAGCTATTCACATGCGTGGATAGTGGGGTTGCACGGTAGACATGTCGTCCTAGCATGTGCCATCTTAGCAAGGAAGATTGTCAGGGCATGGGTGGAGCGATCGTGCGAAATATATGCATTGTAAGGTGTGTTGACCAATTATCACGCAGCTGAAAGTGGGAGGAGGGGTAGGAAATGCCGCGATTGTCCGTCATAGTACACTAGTAGACAGTAATTGATACATCCCGCCATTCTGAAAGGTGTCTTCATCGAAAAAAGCTTATGCGGATGACCTCAATTTGGAGATTCCGCCGACAGAGGTAGTTGAATGAGCGATGTTGATGTCATGTTTGTTAATAAGAACAAATGATGGGAATTCTTCGGACTTGTTTACCCCTGAGACTAACCCCACATTGCCGTTTTTACATGTTATCTTTAAGGTTAGCGTCATTTCATGATCATGCATTTAATTCTCCGCACATTGTCATTTTATCGTATCACGATCGCATTCACTTATAATTTTGTCACTAGGTCTGGAAGAGGCAGGTGTGAAGAAATTTTCGTATCCCACCGATTAGCTCAGGACCTCATATTGTGCCTGTAACATCCCGTCGTTGATGAATCGAAGCATCGTTAAACCTTCCTTGATACTTGCTAAAGACCTAAAAGTATTTGTGGTAGACAGAGAATACCAAAAGGGGATCGATGATAGAATGAGAGGAAGTGAAAGAAGGGGATAAAGGGTAGTATGTTTAGTACATGCAACTCAAGTGAGAGTCTTGCTTCTGCGTCAGTACCAACAGTTGGATGGTAGTTTCTGAAGAAGTACTACAGCGAGTGGCGACGCTTAGCTTGGAAACATGCGGCTTAGTCTATCTACAATCTTTTGTCAAGGTTTTATCTGCCCGGTAGTCCGATGTCAGTATAGAAGCTCTAGCATCCCTACTTGTAGCTATGCCGCACTCGATAAATGCAAGGAACAGCGCATGGAACCACATCGTAGTGCTTTTCTTTACGTTGGTAGCTTCCGCTATTGAAAACTACAGGATATGCATAACAAAATGATTCCAAGAGACGAGAAGAGTTGCTACCAGAGCTTAGTCCTAGAAAATAGTGCTACTTAGGCGGACTGAAATTACGAAGGGGAACATTCTTCATTAACCCAAACCTCTCAAAAATACGACTTGTCCACTCTTTTCACAGCATGTGAAGCTACAGGCCTAGCAATCCTCAGTCGTGGTCAGGCTGCTCATTACAATCACTGTAAATGATTGAATGGTCAGTATAGGATTCGTCGACGAGTAATTCAAGGATGAAATTACTGCCATGGGAAACTCTCCAAAATATGAAACAAGCTCTTTTCGCCTGCGAACCCAAATAGAAAGGAATCATTCTAGAGATTTTTGAGAAACACTCGAAATATTTCAATGAAAATAAGGGCTGGATAGAATGTAGCTATGCTAATGCATCATGTCTGTCCGATTCCATCGACGTCAAGGCCTACAGAAGTGTTGAAAATTTCTCTACAAAAGTCTGCGTGGGATGAAACCGAATACTTGAATTCTCAGATTGTAGTCTTGAAACACTGACTCTTTTGCTTTCAGTTCACTCACTGTATTTATGATATATGCTCATAATCTTTGTTGATGATTGTGCCCTTTCAAATTTGCTATTTGCATCGCCCTACACTGTGGTCAGTTTTTTTCTAGAATTTGTAGATCTACTAATGTAATAAGACTCTCCTAAATTCCAACTGATTAACCGAAGTGCCTCTCCCTCACATCTTCTCAAAACTTCCACCATATCACGAATGAGCAATCAGGTGATACTTCTAGATTCCGCTGTACATCGCAAACAAAAATCTAGAATGTGACCCACACCCCCACCTGCCCCGCGACCCCACACCCATGAAACCACACCAGACTTCCCCAAACGAGAAGCTCCGACCCCGCCTCGAGGCCGCTCCGCCCTACCATGAAGCCATCCGAGCATTTGTCTACTCCGCCCCGAATAGACACGTCATATCCGAACACTATACACCGCTGGATAGAAACGATTTTCGATATTACGGCCCGAATACATTCACAATCCCGCATAGTGTGCATTTGTTTCGTAATCTGTAGCCCTTTGAGCTCCCGTGTCATCATCTAACATGCCTTATTTCTATGCTTTGAATTGCTGAACACGTTGCCTTCTTTCGCTCAGATCATTTCAACAATCGGTTGTCTGCTCTTCAGAAGACTTGCAACCTTACAAAGCATTCGAGTGAATGAATATAACATGTCCTTGCCCTTTCAATTGTACAAGAATCAATCCTAATCAACGTTCATCCCACGCTGAATCTTTGCCTTTCGGGTGTACAGAGTGCATCATCGTTGTGTATACAGTCGAGCATTCTGGTATCTTCTACACGCATCTCCTGATGCTTCAATTTGACTTTCATAGACTTTGGAAATAAGTGCAATGGATCGATCTCGTCGTGGCTATGATGCTCGAAGCGATACAAAATAATAGGGCTTGATGAAATTCTGGAAACCATATCATAATCACAATGGTAGCCAAAAACTACAGCGCGGTCCTGTGATCACCGGCTGTTGCTCTCGCAACCGAGCCGTTCATACGCCTCTTGTGCTGGATTTTGAAGCAAGTTACAGTCACTTTGGCATTTTCAAGTCGACTGTCAATCAAATTCAGCTATAAATGAAATCCTTGGCACTCGCGTCGAGGAAATCTTTCCAAGTGAAGGTGCTTCGATGATATGCATATTTTTCTATAGTCTCCATGGATCGACCGGCCTTTTCCCTCTACTAACAGGTTTTGACTATTAGAGCGTTTATTCGCACGCACAGTGTCATCGGATGAATCATGATACACAAGGAACTGCGGTCTGAGCGAAGCTGCTCTCGTACTCGAACACGTGTCGCGGCAACTCACCTCTTGAACATGGCGAACGTTTAGTCGAGCTTAGACAAGTAAAACAGATGTTCTTGAGTCTTGCATAGCATTCTCAGCACTTTCCCAAGTGGCGCAGCTTATAAAGATAAAAGATGGTAAGTGAAAGTATGACAGCTTGTAAGGAGACACAAGTTCATTACATAGCTGTCGTCCTATAACCTTGCAGCAATGTGATTTTGGTGATGGGTAGTAGTGATAACCATTAACTCATTTCTTTACTAGAAACAAATCCCCAAACAATCTATGCTCAAGTTTATTGAGCAATCATCTGTTCTGCTGACATGCCATCATCTCCTAGCACTTTGGCCTTCTGCAAAGTAGCCACAGTCTTCTGGATAACCGCTAAATCTACGTTCTTTGTGGCACTTGCAAATCTGACCGTCTTCAACCATTCATTTGCATCCTCCTCGCTGTAATCCAACGAAGTGCTGATATATTTCACAGCCTCAGCCTGGTTCTTCTCGAAATATCTAACTCCCTTGTCGATTTTCTCAAACAAATCGTCCAACCTCTTATCTTCTGTGCTTTGAAGGACTTTTGTGCTGGCAACAATTTTCCAGCTGCTCCATGGTGTATATATTTCCCCGATACGCTTGATCTCTCCATTGTCGTAGTATCGTTTGGAGGTAAAATGTTCCCACATGAAGAAATCCACTGTGCTATCGTTCACACCGTTGCGCAGTTTCTCGAACGTTTGTAAAGGAACGACCTCGAATGGTTCCTCTGACGATTGACTTTCGTTGAGCCAACCTTGCTCATCTGCAAGAACAAATCCCATCACATAGCTCCCGCTCCCGATTCTTGAGACTCCAATCTTGCCGTTCTTCAGATGTGCGATGCTATTCAATGGTCTGTTTGCGCCGGTCGAGATCGCCCAGCCTGTTTAATTCAATCAATCTGTCTGTACCATGCTTGTAGAATATGCCCCTGATAAAAGGAAAGACATACACAATGGCGTTTCAACATATGTCCCGACAATTCTATATCCTCCATCTCCTTCCACATCAGATTTCCCCAATCCAGCTACCCAGCCTTCAGTGAGACCAATACCTACATCGATTTCTCCCGAACGTATAGATGTAATCATATGCCCAGTGCCAGATGGGAATGGCATCAATTCGGCTTCTAGACCGAAATGCTTTTGCGCAAAGTGAAGAGGGGTAGAGAAGTGCTCAGGGACGTATCCAATCTTGAGAGGGGTTTGAGTCGCAGACATGATTGGGAGCTAATTCCAGTCGCAAGTTTGTTGAGGAATAATGAGTATTTTTTGATGGAGCCTCGATTAATACGTAGCTATATAGTGAAGTGATAGAGAATAGTAAAAGAGCTCAAGACGGATTTCGAACGGGTATTCACCGGCATGGCGGGGTAAGTTATAGTGATCATTGCGACGCTAGAAGTTTCAGGTCTCAATTTTAGCGTGATTTTTCAGCCACACCTCCAGACCGCCACAACCTTCCATTGTCTCCGGGGATCCCAACCATCCATCTTCGACCTCCAGCTGTACCTTATCTCTTCCCCACGATTTAATACAACAACCTAAACAATATGGCTTCAGCTACTGCGCAGCGTCGTCTTCTTCAGGAATATCGCGCCCTTACAAATAATCCACCAGACGGTATCACTGCAGGTCCGGTGACAGAAGATGACTTACTTTGCTGGGAGGCTTTAATAGAAGGACCAGAGGGTACGCCGTTCGAAGGGGGAGTGTTCGCTGCCGAGTTGCAGTTTCCCAAAGACTATCCACTTTCTCCGCCGAGTATGAGGTTTCTTGGGGAAGTTTGGCATCCCAATGGTATGTTCTTCTTTCTTTTTTCTTTACTCCGACATCAACGATGTCCAACACATCGTAGCTTGGAGAGTGCAATACTGATACGTGCTATTATTAGTCTACCCCAGCGGTCTTGTCTGTATATCTATTCTTCACCCGGCTGGAGACGATCCGAACCATTATGAACATGCATCGGAGCGATGGTCACCCATACAAAGTGTCGAGAAAATCTTAATAAGTGTGATGAGTATGTTAGCGGAACCAAATGATGAGAGTCCGGCAAACGTGGAAGCTGCCAAGCAATGGAGAGAGAACAGGGCGGAATATGAACAGAAGGTTCGCGACGGATGTAGGAGAATGCTCGGATTGTAAGACTGTCTGTGGATGAGGTCTTGAATTCTATGTTCATTGATTTGGAAGAGGCCGGGCTATATATACTGGCCCATGTAACGAGTCACAGGTCACTTACGGGAGACGCTTTACTTCCTAAGGCCACTCTCAAAATCGCATGGCTTGTAACATGAGACTATGGTTGAATTACATATACAGAATACTTAACACGGAAACGGAGTTTTGGAAGCGTATCGGACTACGTATCATTCGATACTAGGTGATAGGTCAAAAATGCGGGCTACACAATATGGAAATATGAGCATCATTAAGATTAGTTAGCAACATTATCATGGGCTTGAAAAATGTTCTACGCCTTTCAATGACCAGAAGTTTCACGGTGAAGAATATTATGTAGCCCGGCACAGAAGTTTCTCCTTAACACATTCCCAAGTATGAGTATTTGTACTTTAGCTGTTACCATTGCCAAGTCTAAGAAGTCGTTCCCCTTTCGCTGAGTCTCGTGTTTCAACCGGCGAACAGCCTCAGAAACGCGACTACGAGTAGATGATTGGATGCAAGCGAGTGTCGAAAATGCAACCAGGTGGGCCAGAGATAAGATAACTACCTAGTACTATCCGGCTATACAGCAACGCTTGCTAATTCAAAAGCAGAAATACAGGGCGCAGACAGAATCAAAGGAAAATCTGGAGAAAAAATAAGGAGTGGTCGAGTCAAATGCCAGAGAGAGGCGTTGGGATTATTCTGTGAATATGCAAGTTAGAATTTAACCTACTTAGGTCCAATGAAGCTCAGTGTATATCTCGACTTATGACCAGATGAAATTAATTACGCCTTTATGGAGTATGTGGTAGGAGCCTTGCCAATTTTTGATAGTTACGGGGCTGATATCTTAGGAAACTTGATCACGATGCTGTGAGCTGGTCAATTGCGCGCGGAGATAGACATCCTAAATAGTCAAACAAGTATCAAGCAATTCTGGAAATATCTCTTCTCGCGTTCTCAGTGAGTTTGATGCGTGACTGCCAGGTTTCGCTAGAAGGGGAGGCCGCGATATCAACTAAGGAGTAGGGTTACATTGGCACCCAACTCTGCCGGACACTTGACGTGTTCTTCAATCTATACCCAATTGATACCAGCGACAACCAATAGAGACGGGAAGTCTTATTTGCACTTCACTGTGGCTTAGCTATGCGAGTCAAACCCAACTTATCCGCCGAATTTGCCTCAGCCGTGTTCTGTCGATTTTTTTCATATCCGATGTATATCTTTCTCACCATTCCACTCTCCACATGAGATCGTGTATCAATCAATATCGACATGAGCTTTGGTTTTGGTATAGGCGACATCCTCGCGGTGATCGAGCTTGCCAAGAAGATACGAAAAGATTTCGCGGATGCTCCAAGTCAATTTAAGGATATCTCACTCGAGTAGGTGGATCTGATCACGATTTGAATTACACAAGCTTATTGAGATCTGCAGGGTGCGAAGTCTCTCCATTGTACTTCAGGATATCGAAGATGAGCTATCATTGCCAGACCTCAATGCCAAACAGAAGAGTGAACTCGAAGAAATCATCGTCGGTTGTCGAGATGTTCTTGAGAAGTTGCAACGAGCGTTGAGCGCATATGGCGAATTGAGATCTGACTCTAGAGGTGTGGGCTCTAAGGCGAAGAGAATTTGGAAACGGTTGAAGTGGGAGCCTGATGATATCAAAGAGTTTCGAAGTCGTGTTACAACAAATGTTACTTTTTTGAATGCATTTCGGGGGAAATATACCAAGTAATCACTTCCTTCATATTGGAATCTCCGACTAATACAATCTAGTGAAATACTACATCAGATCAAGAACGGCGCAGACCAATTTCATGAACGACAAGATGATCGGGAACTCAACAAGGAATCTTTAGCGATTTTGGATTGGCTTACCCCAATCAACCATGCAGCTCAACAGCATGATTACATCACACAACGGCAAGTAGATACAGGACAATGGCTTCTAGATTCGCCAGTGTTCATAGAATGGGTAAATTCTGATAAGCAGAAATTGTTTTGTCCAGGTATCCCTGGTGCAGGCAAAACGATGCTTACATCAATTGTTGTTGAAGAACTCAACAATCGCTTCCGAAACGACAAAGATGTTGGAATTGCGTACTTCTATTGCAACTTCCGACGCCAACATGACCAAAAGATTGATGACTTGCTATTAAGCCTTCTCAAGCAGCTCTCCGGATACCAGGCTTCACTACCAGGTGCAGTGAAGGAGATGTTTGATCTACACTCACCCAGGCAGAATCGCCCGTCGACAAAGGAAATTTCCAGTGCCCTCAAGTCTGTGATCGATTCGTATTCCAAGGTTTTTATTGTTGTTGATGCCCTTGATGAATGTCAAATGACCAACGGTTGCCGAATGCAATTTCTATCAGAGATTTTCGATATTCAGGAGACATATCAGCTAAGCCTTTTCGCAACTTCGAGACATATTCCCGACATCGAAGAAAGATTTGATGGCTCTTTGCGGTTGGAGATTCGAGCGAGTGATAAAGATGTTGAGAGGTACTTAGACGGTCGCATTTCGCAGTTACCTGAATATGTACGCAAAAGCACGGGCTTACAAAATGAGGTCAAGACTGCAATCATCAAAGCAGTTGATGGAATGTATGCAACCCATCCCAATCCTAGCGGTAGACAATGCTTACCTATAGAATTTAAAGGTTTCTGCTTGCTCGACTTAATTTTGATTCGTTAAGAGGGAAAAAGTCTCCAAAGGTTATGCGGAACGCTTTGAATAGTCTTCCAACTGGATCCGCCGCATACAGATATGCGTACAAAGATGCTATGGAAAGAATTGAAGGACAGCTGGATGATGAGAGAGACCTTGCAAAGCAGGTTCTTTCTTGGATCACTTTTGCAAAAAGGCCTCTCACAACAGCAGAACTTCAAGAAGCTATTGCAGTAGAGATTGACGAGACAGAGCTTGACCAAGAAAACTTTACTGAAATCAGCACAATGATTTCTGTATGTGCCGGACTGGTGACTGTTGATGAAGAAAGCAAAATAATCCGCTTAGTCCATTATACTACACAAGAATACTTCGAACGAACACGAGACAAATGGTTCCCTGATGCAGAAACTTTTATTACTACAATTTGCGTTACATATCTATCATTCGAAACTTTCAATACCGGTCTTTGTCTATGGTATAGAGACTTCGCAAAGCGGGTACGGTCTCATCAATTCTCCATGTATGCCGCACGATTTTGGGGGCATCACGCTGGTAAGGCTTCAATTTTAGAAAAAAAATTAGAGCAGGCGCTTTTGAAATTTCTCGAAAACCAAGCAAAAGTCGACGCATCATGGCAATTAATGAATTCTGATAATGTACCGGAATCATATGTCGACCAGGGCTCGAGTCCCGGGTCTCCAATCTCTTACTACGGCCGATTTCAGAGAAGAGGATTGACAGGAATGCATATAACAGCGTTCTTTGGACTCGAAACTGTTATAAAACTGTTGCTTGATTCGGGCAAACTCGAAGTCGATCCAAGGGACTTGTTAAGCGAGCGATCGAACTTTATTCCTGATCCTAATGTTGTTAATCAGGATCGAACGCCACTCTCTTATGCGGCGGAACAAGGGCATGAGAAGGTTGTGAATCTCTTACTTGATACAGGCAAAGTTGAGGTCGATTCTATAGATCAATCTCGTCAGACGCCGCTTCGTTACTCGGTTGAGAGCGGGAACGAGAAGGTGGTAAAGCTTTTGCTTAATACAGGCAAAGTGAATGTCAATTTTAAAGATGACAGAGGTCAGACGCCGTTCTATAAGGCGGCCGAATCCGGGAACGAGAATGTGGTAAAGCTATTTCTTGAAACAGGCAAAGTCGAGATCGACACAACCGATAACTTTGACGGAACACCACTGTTAGGTGCTGTTCGAAAGGGATACGAATCAATAGTGAAGCTGCTACTAAATGCAGGTGCAGTAAAAATTAATCAAAATGATTTAGAGCATCGAACGCCAGTCTCATATGCTGCTGAAGAAGGGTTTGAATCTATAGTAAAGCTGCTTCTCGATACAAATTCAGTTGATGTCAATATTGTTGATGGATATGGGCGAACGCCAATCTCATATGCTGCTAAAGGGGGCTTTGAATTTATAGTGAAGCTACTTCTCGATACAAATTCAGCTGATATCAATATTGCTGATAGGTTTTACAAAACGCCAATCTCATATGCTGCTAAAGGGGGCTTTGAATCTATAGTAAAGCTACTTCTCGATACAAATTCAGTTGATATCAATATTGTTGATATAAACCAACAAACGCCAATTGCATATGCTCTAGAAAAAGGCTATGAATCCATAGCAATGCTCTTATTGAGTACAGGGAAAGTTGATATCAGTTACCTGGATCCTTCTGGTCTGGAAATATTCTGGTGGGTAGCTTGTTGGGGTCACGAGCCAATTGTAAAGCAACTGCTCAATACAGGTTTCAACCTGCCAATTACACAACCGGGGCCTGTGGAGGGAGTCTGGTGGGAAGGAGTCTGGTGGGAGGACGAGGGGAAGGTGAAACTTCTGATCAAGAGATACGCTGATATGAATATTGACATTCATCCTGCAACTGAAGAGAATATCCGAAAACTATGGCCACGGGTCTTGGAAAGCTCGGGAGAAAATTGGAATGAACAGTTAGAGAGAGTTATCTGTGAGGGAATGGCGTTCAAAGATAGGGTGGACATCTGGTCTTAGCTATTGCTGTCTGGGAGATACTGTTTACTTTATCGTCTTCAAGAAGTTCATATCTGTGCATTTACTTTATCATGACTGTTTTTTTCTCCGAAAATACTGAGGATTATTGCGCGACGACGGTCGTATGATACAATAAGCTTTTTACTAAATTTAGTCACTCCCCGTGATTCTCTTCCCCTTCAACAAGCGGGCGACATTTTGCTTGCCAAACCCAGTCAAGTTGAGTCGTCTACTACAAACTTCAATTGCAAACTACTCGTGAACGTGTGAGCTGATATGGTCGTGCTTGGAACCTTAACTAATACCATTCCATGCATGTTAAGAAATTCACGGAAATAAAGCATCAACGATGAAAGCTCTAGTCGAAGAGATCTGATGCCAAAGTGAAACATACTGTTGCATGTTAATCACTATATCATTCATCTCGAAATTCCTATTTTCCTACAATTCTCTTCAGCAAGTATGTTGAAGGATCCGCGTATTCTGCCATAAATAATTAGTCACGCCCTCCTTGAGCATTCTAGAAAGCGTATCGGTTGTCCTCCTCCCAACATAAGCAGGAGGAATCATCACTCCGTAATGACACCACTCTTGCTGATGCTTTATAACATTTACCTGTCTAATTTACGTTGATCTATCATTCACTCTTACTTGCACATTTTTCTTGGGAATTTATGGGATAAAAATTTGGATGGGGCTGTGCTTGACCGAAACTAGGTAAAAGACGCGAGTAATGAGATGTGACAGTTATGCGTTGATGAAAATACCTACCAACTCATCGGGCGAATGTAAATTAAGAATCATAAGACCTTAAAGAAGACTGTATATATCTAGTACCCCGCAACAGGAAATTGTATGTCAATCACCATAACACATTCACCATGTTCACTTAAACCATAGATGGATAGGTACCTATTTTGAGTGAACTTTATCACACGATCACCTAAAACCACAAAATCACTTCCTCCCAGTTTTCAATACTTTTGAACAAAACAAAATATCAACATTCTCTCTACTTCATTGCCCACAAAACAAAATATCAAAGTTCTCTCTATTTCAATACAACGAATCAATAGCCTTTGGAACGGTCTCCAAAATAGGAGTTTCTCAAGATGTTCCTTCAGTCTGAAGAATCTCAGTTGGCGAATTTGCCTAGCACACCCCTCATTTCTGTGCCCGGCCCACTTGAGGAGTTTACCCCATTCTCCCGATTACCTTTAGAATTAAGACGCAAGATCTGGGGATTCGCAGCTCTATCCTACCCAAGAATCTTTGAACTGGTATGGTGTAGCTCTGAAAATGACCTTCATCGATTGTTCAAAGTTTCGAAACAGACCAATCGTGCCCCACCAATCCTGGAAGTCAACAGAGAGGCCCGTGAAGAAGGAATGCGCACCTTCGAAAAGCGAGTATTCAACAATTGCAACACCAATACTGGAATTCCTTTCAAAGTCGAAGGAGAAAAGCCTCAGTGTACATGGTTCAATCCCGATCTGGACACAGTCTACTTTGGCGAAAATACATGTATTCGAACAGTTGCGGACTTCGTTGATTTGTACTGGCAAACGAAACTTCCAAAAATTGCTTTCGCAACGAAAGCACATCTTCACGGTTCCTGCAAATGTAATTGGATTTCTGGAGACTGGAATCCTGGTCACAGGACGGTAACAAGTCTTCAAATTCTTCATGGCAAGCCTCCGAAAGATGCAAATTCGTCTATGTTCCCAGGCTCACCCAGTACAAGGGAGGTTTCCATCGTTCTCCCGTCTTTCATATACAGATATGCGGCAGGAGAAATGCCAAATACGATCACATTCCGTCCTTCCGTTCATAATGTTCTTGAGATAGATGGTGTACGAATAGCTGCAGCATGGGCCAATGAAATCCATGAAATTCGATCCGGGCTTGACTTCGGATGGGGACCAAGCAGATGGAAAAATGACAGTTGTCCTGATTTCGATTTTGTTTCCTTTGCTCCAAGTTATAAAGATGGAAAGGGAAAGAAACTCAGACACGATGGTTTCCTGATGTCTTCGAAGGACTGTGAAAGAATCACTGCGCATGGAGGAGCATTTCTCGAGGATTTGAAGCTTCGTACTGGTGTTGATATACGAGTTGGGTATTGCAGTGACTCAGATGCTTACACTGGCTGGTTTGAGGCGGTGAACGAAGTCGGCCTTTTTAATGGAACTAGTGAGGGTATCAAACAATGCGAATTCGAAATTTTGGCCCATTGTGTAAGTCAAACCATCAAGCTCTATCATGATCTCAACTAACATTTCTTAGCTTAATGCGAGAGATGAACCGGAGGTTGGCATTGATATACTCTAGTATTACATTGGCAGATTTTGGAGCTCTGACATAATTGCTCATATTTATTCGGGTGTTACAAGATCACTTTATGAATAGTCAATACATTAATGAAGATGAACACTCTTATAGAAATATACAGAAATGCTGATATGTGATCTGGAACACTTGAAAGAATTTGAGGAAATATGAGACTGGACTAGGATATATCACCCATCAAATGTATGTCTGGACTACTGTAATATCCCTCAACGTATTCCATCAATTGAAATGCCCTTACATGACACTGATAATAATCCTGGTAAATACCAGCCAATGCTTTATCCTCTAGAATGTTTTCTGCTAGACTGATTCTTATATTAGGGAAGAAAAGAGAAGATTTTGATAAACAGGTTTTTATGATTCTCCCTCTGAAATACAAAAGAGTGATGAGTTGCAAGATCAATCACTTATGAGTATACACTAAGGCATAGAACACACCATGGGCCCAATGAAGATGATTCATTGGTTGAAAAAGGGAAGTCTTTCATCCACTCAATGACTCCACATTGGATTAAACTAATTCTTGTACTTCACAAATATTCATGGACCAGTTGTGCATCAGCCAGGTTAAAGCAATCTTAGCCATGTGAACAGCACAAGCAAACCGGGTTGTCGTTCAACATCTTAGATCCTAAGAAGTGTTCAGCAGTCGTGATTAGTAACATAGAAAAGAAACATAAGCACTCTAACATTTCCTTGTGCAATCCGCTCATGCAAATGGTGAATGATGTGTGAACATGAGGATAATATGAAAAATTTGTCATGAATTACATGGTGAAAACACTACAGCACCCTTATCTTTTGCTGGAATTGTATAATCTAGTCCTTAACCGGTTCCTACCATGCATTCAAGAAGGATTTACCATCCGCATAGTAGCCATCAGATTCAATTATCTAATGATCGAATAAATATAACTGTGCACTATTGAAGTAATTAGATTCACCTTCACAAATCCATATCTAAGCCATTGAGACACTTACAAATGAACTGGCATTAACGTGAACAACCGAGATTCAATACATCCAAAGCAATAGCCAGCTTGTGTTGAAACTCGCTAACATGAAAGTGGCACCACTAGCGTCATTTCGCCAGTCTCCCAAAGTAATAAAGGTTTCTTGTTGCATCGTCTACTGTCCTGAAAATCGTCACAGTTCCAGCTCGACCTCTCAGATCTTCTTACTCTTGACCTAGAAAAGATCACCCAAGACTTCAATGAACAATCGATTACCTCAACTTCTTTTTGAAAGTTTACCACAACACATTCTCTACTTTCAATAAAATTTCCCAAGGAACTAAATCGGAAAACACTCAAAATCACAAAGTCAGACAACATTTTACAAGATGTCTTTCTATGAACGCTTTTCTGACCCCTACCAACCAACACCAAGTGGAGTGGGAAGAACCAACGGTGGAGGAGGTCAAGGTGGACCATCCAATGGATCTGCTCCCACTGAGGGACAGAACCAAGTCGATTCCACCGAAATGACAACCGCCACTAATGGTGGTGGTTCCTCACAGGTATGTCTTTGTTCTCTTGCTTATTCTCTTGCTTATTCTTAGCCCTAATCATCATAGACCCCTGTTCAGAGACCAAACTAACAGCATTCAAAGAATACGGAAGCTCCTGGCCCAGCAACAGACCCCAAGGGTACAGGTAAAGGCAAGAAAAACAAGTGGGCGAAAGTCGACTTGAACGATATTGCACCAATGGCAGGTCCCTCTATTCCCGCGCAGCCAAACCTTAAGGGTGGAGGCAACTACAGGAAGGAACGATCCTTCGGTCTCCTCGTTGAGGATAATGTTAAAGCACCTCGTCCTCATGAGAATCCTCATCGCGGTGTCAACATTGACGGAGAGTCACTTGGCGAGATCGCCGATCGCTTGAACAAGCTGGATTTGGAGAAGGCTAGGTACGTACACACTTTCTATTCACACATCACATGACATCTCCTTTCACCCATACCAGCACTAACAATACATCAGTAAGCCTTTAACGGAATTCACACTCTTCCCGAAACTCTCGCCCGAACTGCGCTTCAAGAGTTGGAACATTGCAGCACGTTCCTTGTCGCCTCGAATCCTGGAAGTTGTATTGTATCCGGATTTTCCCTGCCCACCAGGTGGCCAACGAGATAACATTGACATGTGCAATCCCAATGATTTGAGACAATTCAATCATAAGACATGGCACATCTCCGCGCCTGGCCAGAAAGTCCCAGCCATATTACACGCCACTCGGGAATCGCGTGCCGAGGCCCAACGCGTGTACGAAAAGCGATACCTCAACAACTTTCCGGATAATTTCCCCTATCACCAAAATGACGAGCGTCCATGGACATACTACAACCCGTATGTCGATGTCATTTTCTTTGGCGATGGAATGTGCATTATGCCGCTTGTCAGATTCTTCCGTCACCATTCCGAGGAAATTTTCCCTCGACTAGCTTTCCGATGTGCCGAATTCATTGGTACATGTAAGGTACAATGTACCTGGAATACCTGGGAATGGGGACACGGTGACGATTGGAGTGACTGCCGTCGCGGAGTCGGCATTGGAGGCGGCGGTATTGACATCATGGGTATTCTTCACGGAAAAGATCGGGAAATTGCCCTAAACTCGCTGGTTCCTGGAGTTCCGAGTGTAGAGGAGGTGTTTTTCGTGGTCAAGACGGAGTGCATGAAGTTCCCACCGGGACGGGTGCCCAGCAACTTGACCTTCCGCCCTGCGATACACAACGGCCTGACACGAGGTCAGCAGCGGAAGAGAACTGAATCTCAAGCTGAAGTTGACATAGCTAGGGCCGGAGAAGGAGTTCCTGGCTGTGGTACCAATAGATGGAACGACCATCCTCCAACTTTCAGCTTCGTCTCCATGGCTCCTCCATTAAAATATGGCAAGGGTAAAGACCTAAAGCACGATGCACTCCATGTGCCAAGCGAGCAATTGGGTAAATTGACCTATCACAACAATAAGTTCCTTGTAGATTTAGCTGTCAGAGCTAATCTCGAGATCGTACCTAGCGCGAGAGCATACGCTGGTGAGCTGAATCGAGAAATCGGCTTGTACAATGGTACTGAAAAAGGCATTGAGCTAGCAAAGGAAGAGATCCAGAGGCAATTAGTATGTTGAATAGCCCTTGAAATACTGGTGGATTGATGCTAACACAGAACACAGCTTGTGGATATCAACGCCGATCATCGTGGTCCCAACCACCAAGGCGGCTCTCGTGGTCGTGGTCAATAGACTGATTAAGCGGCGGATGGAGGTGTGGGGGGCTCAAATGATACATAGACGTTGAAGTCAAGGGCGTCCGAATTTGTTTGGTAATATTGTCAGACATGATTTCCTGATGACAGAATGCAACCGTCTAGTATCCGTTAATTTGTCGTGGGAGAAAAAAATCACTGCATAGGGCGTAGTGTTTCTAAGTAGTATACAATAACATTGTCTATCTGCAATCCATTGATCTCAACGCTTTGTGAAAAATGTGAGATCCACTTACTTAGATGATATCCCGTAACAGTCGAACTCTGCAAGTCTTTAACATTCGAATGATATTGGCACCACTCGAAAAGCCTGTGTATGGTCTGGGCATGCGAAATCTAACTTTATTCCTGTACATGTGTCTTTATCTAAAGCAAATAACGCTTGTTAAACGCCCGTTCAATCTATATTTCTATATCCAAAATTTGTGTACATAGCCGGTAAATCTTTTACAAGTCGCAATCATTCCAATCCGCAAATTCCCTGTCAAATAAAGTCAGTCATTAAGAATTTCAAGACTTAAAGAATATCTTACCACTCTTCTCTCCCTGAAATCATCATACAACCCCTCCCAAATATCTCTTCCCCTACAATCATCTCCTTCCGGCACCGGAACACACGTCGGTCCCTTTCCGATCCACTCCATGTCATCCAATTGCCACGGTTTCTCCAAAGGCCAATCACTAAAATGAACAAACTTTGACTTCTGGAATACTTGCAATGGGTCCCATACATCGGTTTCATGACCTTTTCCCCAGAAGCCTTTGTGTTTATCGACAGGTCTTCTGAATTCTCCTGTAAGAAGTGAGTATATTTGATGGTCTATTAAGCCACAGGAGTCTTTTTGCTGTGTGAGGACAGAGTTAATGATGTCCATGTCGTAGATACCCACACGGGCTTTTTTGACCTCACTTTCAAGCCGTAAGAATTCTGTGGTTGACGGTTTGATGAGCATGATGTGGGATGCTAATTGAGGGACACCTTCGGAATCAAGCCAGTATGCTCGTGGTGCAAGGAGTTGCGTTGAGTCCGACATTGGAGCAAGGAATAATTCATCCATGGATTTCAGAACAATGGAATCGGAATCTAGAACGAGAAGTCTCTCATGGGATGTCTGGTTAAAAGCTAGGAGTTTGGTGTAACTTTCCGCCCATTCATCTATTATGCATCAGCGATTAATGATCTCATGTCTTGATACGATATAGGAATAAGATTTATTACCCTGGCTACCATGTTTATGCTTCAGAATTTCCACATTCTTCAACTCCACTTTGTATTCATCTCTCGCCTGGATCAGCATCTCAGTGATAATATCCAGACCCTTCCCATTGACATCTTCGATCCATTCATCCCTCCATAATTGAGGATATATTAATACTCTTTCCGCTTTGCTCCCTAGCGTGTTGAGCGACTCAAACAACATCAATGCGTTGCACAGATAATCTTGCGAGGTTGCATATGTGATGTAAGCGTATTTATTCCACTCAATTCCTGTCTCCTCGCCTGTCAGGGGCTCCACAACAACAGGAGCCTGTTTCAAGCATGCAGGAGTTTTATACTGAAGATGTAATTCTTTCGCTTTTCGTGTTCCATGGGGAAGTAATAAGAGTATAATCAGTCCACAAATAACGATTGGTATAGCTGTTCGTACAGGTCTTGACCGAAGTATTTGCGCGATACTCGGTTTGGCTGCTTTGGAAGGGGGTGGTTCGTCGACATCAAAATTTAGGACTGGGAGATAAGGCGAATTTTGCAAGAAATCTGGGAGATCGCGTGGTGCCTGATGCGACATACTCGATTGAGCTCAAAGAAGCTTCCTAAGATATAGAAGTATAGCCAAGATGAGGAAACGCGTATCACGTGATAAGTATCAGAAATGCAAGATCCGTGAGTCTAAATCGAGAAGATATTGATCTGCCTCTGTCAGACTGGTAGTTCCTTTATTTTGAGTTGAAGAAAATACATACAGAAAATGGAAAACAAAACAGCTCTGAATATCCAAAAATTCTAATTCTCACGGGATCACAAACTTTTCTCGGGCGTAAATCCCGATTGACAATAGAGCAGGCGGTCAAAACACAATGTCAAGAACGATTGATACGAGGAATCATCAGGTATGCGCCCGATAAGATGAGATGGTCAGCAGACCTCAAGATACAAGAGTAAAAATGATAAAGGGACTGTCGTGGAATCAATAGGACGCGTCAAATGGTGCTGGCCGTGGAGATGATTAGGTATTTTCGGACTTTAGTGCTTACTAAGTCGAGAGCTTGGTCTTCTTGATAGGATAGGGGTATCACGGGACTACAACAACGACAGTATCACTGATTGGAAGTGTGATTGACCATTGCTGGATGGTTCATGATTAAGTGATGCTAAAATTTTCCATAGGATGGCTTGGAGATTGCATAAAGATTGTTTGATTTCCTACACCGCTAAACGCTACAAATGAATACTTTACAGAATTCAAAATACTCGCATGCAAATTCGAGATTTGGCGAACGCTATTTCATATCTAAGCCTAAAAAACCTTGACAAGATCACAAACATTTTCCATAATATTCCACTATCCTCCACTATCCTCCTCAAGCCCACTCCACTCCAACCTTGACACCATTCCCGCTCTCCACGCTCAATTTGATCTCCTCCACCCACTCCGCAACTTCATCCCTACACTCCACCCCTTTCCACTCTTGTACCAATCTCGCAAGCACATATGCCATCTCCGTTAATCCCAGATTTCTTCCCGCACACATTCTAGTTCCACCTCCAAATGGTAAGTAATTCCATCCTGGCCTCAAATGTTCCCAGCGTTCTGGTCTGAACGCTTCAGGATCTGGTTGATAACAAGGTGCCAGACGGTGGAATACCCAACTGTTTGGGGTAATGAGAGTACCGGCTTTGACTAGGATTGGGGAAGTTCCTGAAGGGCCGCCACCGCGAGGGAGGATGGTATCGCAAACAGCTCCACGGGTTATGGTTGGGGCTATGGGGGTGAGACGGAGAGCTGGTCATTAATGTCAGCATTATGGTCACCTTTGTTCTCTTCATTGAACAAAGTTAAAGAGGAATAAAGTATGAAGAGAAAACCTACTCTCGTTAACAACCCATTGTAAATATCTCATCCCTTTCAAACTCTCAAATGTTAACTCCTCATCCTTCTCCCTATGTTCCAATACCTCTTTCCTCAATTTCTTCCAAGCCTTCTGATTCCTACATAACCAAAAAATTGCATTTCCAACCCCAATGGCCGTAGCTTCATGACCTGCCAAGAATACCTGCAAAGTTTGATTTCGGAGCTCTCGACGATCATCTGTTTCTTTGGCCATTTCGTGAAGGAGAATATAGCGATGATTTTCTTCTTCAGCTTCTTCTTCGTCGCCTGAACTTGACGGATCTGGATTCGGGCGTGATTTCCTGGAGGCAAGATATTCTCGGCGAAGCTCAAGTGCCTTATCAATATGTGCATCGACGAACTTATGAACTGCACGTCTTTCTTTCTTATCCCAACGGTCTTGGTATAAGAATGATAAGGTACGGAGCTGAGATCGAATACTGATACCTCGTTGAGCATGATGGAAGGAGTTGAGAAATTTATGGGAATCAGAAGCTTCATCAGAAGATTCATCTAAAGCGTTGACAGATTCGCCAAAGATGAACTCGGTGGATGTGTCCAGAAACTGTTTTTGCCGGGTTAAAAGATTACGATATAGGCGGGAGTTCGGCTTACCAAATCATCGAGCAACGAACTTAAGTTCACCGTTCTTCCATCTCTTGGAATAAGCTTTAGGAACTTTTGAAGATGTATCTCAAATGCCGGAAAATTGGCCACGTTGTACCTTGTAAAGGTAGGCCGAATCAAAGCCCGGGAGTGTTCCCAAAATGGTCCGTCAGTACTGAATACGCCATCTCCTAGAAGTGGATAGAAAGCCTTTTTTCTTAGATGATAAACCCCATAGTCCTTGAAGTTTGTACTATAATATGTTTGAAGATTTCGAGGATCGATGGTAAAGATGGTTGTTGTGCCGATAGACTCCTCGGTGTACGTGCTTCCGAGTTCATTGTGATGATTCATGATAGATTCGAGATGTTTATGATTTTTCATATTCTTCATTTTGTCAAGGAAAAGGTCGATACCGAATGGATATTTAGATGATCTCTTGGGGGGTTCTTCGCAACCATGTTCCTTCATCAATTGCTTGCGTCTTGCTCTAAGTCTTGCGGCATCAACCAGATAGCAGACGAGAAGTATAACCAAGGAGGCACCACCAAAATCTGAGAGGTAACCCATCACCGAAGCAATACGCTTCTATGCAGTCCTGACTGAATCGCCAGTTCAAGTTATGGATAGAAAATCAACACGGAAGTATCATTATGTGCGAGGTACCTACTACAAGCGAAGCAAAAGGTAGTGAAATTTGGGGCCAGCTTCTTATCGGCATAAAGTCACCTATTCTTACATCATGATTCTGCACGTTGGTGGCATATTCTTATCGCTGGAGCGATTCCAGGTGATGTTGGTGAAATACTGGACACCTAACACAGCCAGCAACAATCTTACCGTATCCAACCCAACTGTTAGATCGATGTATCCACTGATGTCGGTTCGAATATTAACGGCAGCTTACATCCCGACAACCCCGGCCAATCTCATCTGCCGTCACTCGCTTTCATTAAACGGAATGTCCCTTGAATCTATATCAGGACCATGTGTCTTTTTTATTTGTCCGTCCATTGATGATTTGCGAAGAATGCTCCTGAAGTATAAATTACTTGCAGCACTGATAGACCTTCACCTTATCTGCTTGATGTTATACCTGTTAGATTGAAATATTTTTGAATGACACCAAGAGACTATCGTACTTTTACCAACGTAGTCGAAACTCTCGCAAAGCTGCCATGGTGAAGATTTCCCGCCCTAGTACTCTGGAAGATGTTCGGTTCAGATCAACACTAATCGCTCCCAGGCCGCCCCAGTTCAGTCTGAGTACGACCGCGATCCATCGTAACAATCAGTCAATGCAATTGATAAGAATCTCAATTGACATCGCACAGGAAGAACGAAGGCTTCAATCGCTCAGGACTTCCTCGCAAGTGCCATTAGAGTGATATATCCTGTTCTCAGGAACCTAGTCTTGTTGTGCATCGTAGAGAAATGCAGAGACCGTTGCCACAAGCAGAGAGCGCAAAAAATATCTGCTCGTTGGCGTTCTGAATACTGAAGAGCTTATGAGGAACGATATGTAACAAAAGCTCCGGAACCACTGGATCGCAGCAGATGAAAATACTGCAATTTCCATATCATGCTAAATCCATGACCTACCATTAGGTTCCCAAACCGGATGCCAAAAAATACATGTTGCATATCTGATAATCCCGATTTCCGACAAAGTATAATAAAATTCCATCAATGGTCATTGTTCGGGACCGACAGAACATAAGGTTCACCACTATAATTCGAAACTCCGTCCACAACCGTCATGAAACCGACCTAGCGGCTATCCGAAAAGTATAAAGAAAAGACTTTTTGTTGCATATCTTAAATCGGTATCGGTATTTCCGCCAATACCTATTTCCGCCCGTGAGATACAATTGTTAGGATATAGCCTGGACTTTTAGATACCGCCACGAGCTAAGAAGTGGACGGAACGGATACGATGATGTTGTCGCTTCGACGAGAGTCAGTATTGGCAAACTATTAGATATACTTGCGGGAATTTTCAAGATCTACTCTGTTCCGCAAGGTAGGTTCTGTATTCCGGTGAGCTTTTCCGGAAAATTGTTGTGTAAAAATCCGACGTCAAGTCAAAAATAGCATCATCGTGTCTAAAATTCCGTATCAACGGAATTCAACAAACAAAGTTGTTTCATCCTTCAACCTGGGAATCTCGCAATCTTGACTATACCCACCAGCCAAGAAATAAATCCCACCTATAGACAGCACTTAAAATCTTTTGTTGCAAATCTAGGAAATTTCAAATTCCGTGAATATCTGCCGAGACTCCCTCATGCGATGACTTGGGATCTTTGTTGTCAAGAATCAGGCGAGATATCGCCAGATCATGTTTAGTTGGCTGATAGCGGAAACCCCGTAGATAACACTTGGATGAACATTGTGGCGGTTCTAGCTATTCGTACCCACATGCTGCACTTATGAAACTCCTTCCGCTCAGAAATCATTTTGTTGCACGTCGTAAAACCGCCACATTCCGCAGCCTCTGTGTTAGGTTCTGGAAAAAATGGTTAGGAAGATGCTAATGTGTGAATAGTCCGCATGTGTTGGTGGAATTGTAGGATGGACGGAATCTCGGGGAATTAAGAGGAGGAAATCTAGACCTAAAAGACGGAAAGTGGCCCTATGAGATCCGCCATCAGGCAATTTTGTTGCACATCGTAAAATACGATATTCCGGAACCGATAGCGATAGCGATATTTCCGCAGATTGAATCAGTGAGGAAGAGGAACGATACAGACGAAGGTGGTTAGAGTCTGGGAAAAGTGTGTAGAAAGATACTGTCTAGCAGTCTTTTCGGGGCTTGCCTATTAGCTATCTACTATTGTGATATGATCTACCAATAAATCCTCGAGGTTTCATTCCACTAAACTTGCACCTCTGCAAGAAGATTACCGTATCTACTCGTACTTCGTACAACTAATCGGAAAATCTAACAGCACTGAGATTCTACCGAATATAGCCCGTATGGAGAACAAACCTAAGCCCGCTCGGCCCGCCACCATCTTGAAGGAAATGGATCTTTTCTTTTTCACCATTCGGGAATATTTTTCACAGTTACGTTTATCACGCCCCCTCGGCCCCGTTCAGAGGATAGTGGCACGTATATCAGATGTTTTTGATGGAACCGGCGTTTCCGGAATTTAACAAACATCAAAATCACCGGGCAGTTATAGCGTCGGAGACAAGCTAATTGCTTGAGCGGAGCGGTAGCTAACACATTCATCGTTTCTCGTATCTTCAACATTCCGCACTCCGTCGGGAATCGAGGGTGAAAGCCATGCCTGTGGAGTTATATCATTAATGGTATGTCACTGCTTCATGCGAATCTACTAGGTAGCATCTAGCACAAACTGTTGCCATTTTCCGAAATCCAACCCATTCGGCTCGCAGAACTTGCAAACGGAAGATCCATTCCGTTGGTGGATACAGCTCATGATTCCAATTGAGATCATTACGATTCAAAAGTGCTTTTCATTCTTTTGTTGCATGTCTTGAAAGATCCGAAAATCCGAATATTGGATGGTTGAGACATCAGAATTTCTCACGATACTAGTTGAGGTTGAGCCAAGTAGCAATACAGCATTACACTAACCAACTGACTCTGAAGCTCCGAAACCCCTTCATTTGATCTCGCCAATCCAGTCACCAGATTTATCACCAACACAACAAATCAACTCATCCACAATGTAAACACCGAAAACAATCTCTAATGTTGCACATCTGAATATCGCCGAATTTCAAATCTTCGGCGAAGACTTCAGTCTCCAATTCTTTACCTCCGAACAAAACAAAATGAAATCGCTACATCCGAAAATTCGGCGCTCTAATCACTCCATTTACGCTTAAAACATCGTGATATTACCCCGAATTACATATTCGATCATCATGATTGGAGGCCATAGATTCATGATTCTTTTGTTGCATATCTACCATATCCGAATTAGACCGGTCGCCGACTTCTGATTATTCCAGATAGTTTCTCACAATTTGTAATTGTTGGGTTGAGTTGAGTTGTTGTGGTGTAGTGTGCCAGCAGCTCGCGAGCTCGCCTCATCCGCACAGTGCTGATTTATTAGCCTAATTTGTTGGTACGCACTTACATTGTTAGAAACCCGCAGCGACCGAACTTCCGTCCATCTTAACTTACTGAGCAATATCCGCAAACACTTCCTCGCATGCCATGTCATGCCATGGAATTAACAATCACCATCCAACTCCAACACAACTGATGCCAAAGCCAAGTTCAGCATATTAAACCAATCATCTAATTCTCCAGAACATTTGTTGCATGTCTGTCTAAACTCCGAGATCCGTTCTTTCCATATTTTCGGACTTCAATTTTGTTGTTTTACTACAATGGTTATTTCCTTTGGTGTTTCTAAAGCTAACCCAATCCAACCCCTCCTTTGTTAAACATGGTGACATTCAAATCTCTCTAACCATAAGACCGACTCGGATCCCGCTTGATTGATCCTCGGCCGCCCTTCGATTAACCTCCGAATATGCTACTAACGAAATAACCTTATTTCCTTCTCATTTCTTTGAATCATTGGACGACATGCCTTTCCAAAATGTTCAAAACCGTCTGTTGCATATCTACACAAACTCCGAGCCGGCGGATATTACCTTTCTTGCTCTTTGCATAATGTTTTCGCTCAAAATTTTACGTGGTTCGGAGACAAGTCTCAAGAATTCGGCGATACAACGTGAGTTCGGAGACCGAACATTGGCGCTCCTTCCCCTCTTTTGGATATCCAACAAATCAACTATTGGTATTTCCGAATTGTATCATGAGACATCGGGCATTGAGTGGGAGACCTACTAATTTGGTAAGGTGATGAGAGATGGAAAGGGTTTTGTTGCATGTCTATGTAAATCCGAAGCAATAAGATTCGGAGTTGATGTTGCCCCGACTACATGAGACTGACTGGAACAATTTCGATGTTGGGTTTGAAGAGTTGTTGAACGACTACGGAGTAAAGTCCGATATCCATAATATGCATAGTTGACGAGCTGAGATAGAAGAGCTGAGCTTGAAGATCTGTGGTCGATCAAAGAGAACATGGCCAATCGCAAAGCGGACATTACGTTTCATCCGCAGAGCCGCATTAGTTCATCTCACTAACCCCACAACGCGTTCATTTCGTACTTCCAATAGACACATTACAACACTGCATCTATGTGTATCAAATGTTGCACATCTGAGAAATCCCGCAGCTTTGCTGTCAGATCCGCGCTATCCGCAGGGTTCCATTGGTCACCTCATGCGGATCTAGATCTCATCTGATCTTCAGTTATGAGACTCAGGTAGATCTTGGGCTTGAATAGAGGACCAAATGCGGGGCAACAGGGATTGATGATTTCCCAGCTTCCTACCATTCCGGAAGTAGCGCAATGCACCTCGACGTATACACAAAGAAAGCAAAACATCAATCATGTATACGAGAGGTTTTGGAGACAGGAACATTTGTTGCATGTCTATAAAATACCGAGATCCCGGATGTGGTCAACAGAGTCAGTGACTACGTCCATTAGCAGAAATGTGGAGTTTCAGCTCAGTATTGTCCATTCTCCCGGATAATGGGCAGAGGTACGGATAAATCGACAACGGAGCAAGCAAAAGAAGCAAAAAGTTATTCCCATAGCATGACATTCTAGGCTTCTTGGTATACCTACTTGGTGTACCTAACCTTATTGCTAACCCAAAGTTAGCCACACCCTGGGACCGCCAAGTTCCAACACGTATATTTGGACGATTTGTTGCACATCTGACAAACTCCGAGATCTCGGATATAGGATTTTGGCAACGTTTGGCTTTATCTACGGAGTTGAAGCAGAGCTCCTTTGCTTGCGAGACCACTCTTCTCCGTTCGAGCGGAGATTCGCGGACATATCCTCGGCGGTGGAAAAAGGTGGTAAAGTCCCCCTGTCCTGGTCACTTGGAAACTCAATTTACAAATTGAAGATCCTCCATATCGAATTCTGCAGTACCCTTTATTTGCTTTTAACTATCAGTCAAGCATTGTATTAGTCGTTGGAGACATCTTGGAATAGATAGACAACCCGTGTGTTCTCGGCGGAGATAAAATACAAATTCCGAATTTGTCTAGACACATGAAGCATATGCGTCTATGACAACGAAACATGTATACTCGATAGATAATTTACTGAATAGCTAGCAAAATCCGAGATCCGCGAAGTATAAACACGCTGTAATGAGTATTCGGAATTTTCACCACCACCGGGCCGAAGTGACCAAGACAGAGGAAATTCACCAACGACAAGTATTCTCGCCGAGCCTATCAAGTAAGCAAACCACGACTCGAGAGATATTGTTGCACATGTTACCATCTTCAAGTTCCTGGTACTCTCATCGTTTCCACGAGTTGACGGAGTACATCGCTGAGTCTGCTGGAGTGTCATGAAATATTTATGGAGATTCTATGCACCCCGACCAAAAAATGGGGAATGATCCCCGGGCCTGCCAATTGCAAAGATAGATAGATCAAAAAAGATAATTTGTTGCACATCTGCTTGTCCCCGAAATCCTAGGCCCCCAATACATTTCCATGAACGAACGGGGTTTCTTCACCGAGTCCGCTGGAGCTGCACGCATATCCCCCGACGGAGGAACTCTCCAAGTCTACCAATCGTAAAGACAAATGCATGGGGAAAGTAGGTATTTTGTTGCACGTCTGAAATCATTCCCGAAATGCTAAAACTCTGATCATTTTCCACAAGTGAACGGGGCCCAATCGCCGAGTCCGCTTGCATAGCATCGAGTATCCACGAGTATCACTAATCTCCCGACGGAGGAATTTCCGTGCCTGCCAATCATGAAAACTAATAAAGGAGAAAGACTTTTTGTTGCATGTCTGTATGTCACTGAACTCCTGAAGCTTTGATATTTTCCTTGGATCAACGGAGGATATCGCCGACTCCGCTGGTGTTACATGGGAAATCCACGACCATGCCAAGTCTCCCGGAGGGAAAAATAAGTCCGGGCCTAGCAATGATAAAGCCGAATGAAGGAAAAAAGTTGTATTGTTGCATATCTACTGACCCCCGAGATCTTGCAATCTCCATCGCCTGCGTAACTGGGTTATGCGGAGTTTTTAGCCGATGTCGAGTGTATTCGGTACTTCAGATGGGTTATTCATGCGTAAATGATGGAATTCGGCGGATAAAGTCTCCGGATGTGCTGATTGGAAAGGCAAATAGATGGAATGACATTTTGTTGCACGCCTCACGGTGACCGAGATTTCGGAAATGTAAATCTCTCCGAACTGTAAAAGTCCGGAGCTTGTGCTCGTAGTTTAGGTGGTAATGATGAGAATGCATTGAAACGTAGCATCTCGGCGGAGAAAGGGGGATACTTCAGAATCACGAGAAAATCGCATTATGGCTCACCAATCAAGTGAGTGGATGAAAGGAAATGGGGAGAATGAAGGATTTGTTGCATATCTTTAGCCTCCGTCGTTTCGGCCGTAGAAGAAGATGTGAGACGGTGCCATAAACAGAAAGTAGGTATGAAAGTTTAATCTGATGTTGAACATGTGATGCCGAACATCCATTGCCTATTGGTCGTGGAGAGAGTCGGTGGTAACGTGTTGTAACTTGATAATAATGCTTCCTAGCACGAATAGACAAGTACTGCATCTTATTGTCCATTGTTCACCCTGAACCTGATGTAGTATCTTTCAAGTATATGTAGAAAAATATCGAGATTTGGTTTGCATCAGTGGTTTGTGGCATATTGCAGATATGGTAATGGACTGATTAGGCCAGTGGAAGACGCTGATGAACGCAGAGATTATATGAATTTTCATATTTCTATATCTATATAATTCCTTCTATTCAATCTCTAGTCTATATTTCAATACCTTCTATTCGCTGTCATCGTTAACTCTAGATCATCTTCTCTAGTTCCCCAACCATTCCCTCTTAACCACTTCCAATTCTTCTTTTAACCACTTTCCTTCTTCCTTCTCCTCATCGATAGACCCATCGAACCCATGTTCCATCCCCTCCCTCCAAATACCTTTCACTCTATCCTCCCCAAACTTCTTCCCATAAATCTCCACCAACTCCTTCGTATCCTCCCACGGAACAGCAGAATCCTTCGTCCCATGAAACGTCAACAAGTAAGGTCTCTTCTCCCCCTCCCCCTTAACATCCGTATTCTCAATAACATCCTCCAACCACAGTCCCTCCTCTCCATCTCTTTTAAAAATCTCCGTCCACCTTCCTCTCTGCACCATCGTAACCGCTACTTCCAATCTCGCAGGCGGGTACGCACTAATCACTATTTTCTCACCCCCTTTGCCTATATCAGCAATATGATTATCCAAAAACCCCGCATCCATCTGTGGAACTCCAAAAGGACTTTTCGTTTCGCTAGCCTCGGAGTACCACTCCTTCCTCAAAAGCGTCATGGGATACGCTGCCATCACCGCTTTTGGACCATCGAATCCCTCCGTCTGTCCCCAGAAACCTTCAGGGAGAAGAGAGCTGCGGATAGCCAGATACCCTCCCGCACTTTCACCGAAAACCGCGACTTTTTCAAAATCCACAGAAAGATTGCTATTCAGCCCTGAAAGATACGACGAGAGTCCATTAACGCCAGACGCAAGCCACGTCCAAAAATCCTTCACATCCTCCAAAATCTCCTGTCCACTGGCTTCAGGCAATAACCGATAATCAGGCATAACAAAGATCGCCTCACTTTTCACCACGAGATCAACAGTCCATTTAGGAAGCCATTCTGTGAAGAGTGCTGAGCCTGTGACTAAAAATCCTCCATGAAATCTCACAAGGACCGGATATTTTCCCGGGGTTGTTGAGCCAGCGATGGATTTTGGAATGAGAATGTGGGTTGGAAATTCAACACCTTGCACGGATTTATATGTAGTAGTGTGCAAGCTGAAGGGAGCAAGCTTGGGGTCTGACATTTTTGGAGTTGGAGGTATTGAATTCTGCTTTTTGGGATTTTGTGGAGTAAGGTAATCCCTGATGAATGATGATGAGATTGATAAGATATATTTTTTGTCGGGAATACTTCGGTAAATAATTTGTGGGTTGAGTGGTGGACGTTGATTTCAAGTCAATGTAATGAATGGTACTACTTTCGATGATATGATTGATAAAAAAGAAGATTTCGAGAGTTGATGGTGATGCGATAGATACTTATATTCTTGCGGTCCAAAATCAATTTGTTTACTCCCCGTGGATTTTTCGGATTTTGTTGTTAATTCTTTCGTACACTATGGTATTGTAAGCCGTGGTGCTATCACCGCGGGATTAATATGGGATGGGTGGGATGGGATTATGTAAATCTGACAAATCGAATTATTTACGAGATTCTCGTTACTTGTAATTGAATATGCTACAATGCCATTCTTTCAAATCTCCTCATTCATATAGCAATCTTCTAGCCACAAGTGGATATATTGTCGTTACCAATCCCACATACATATCCGTCCCCAGTTCATTTATAATATAGAAAACCCTAAGGCAATTAACGGCAAGGCCAATAACTACTCTCCGTTCGGTCAACCACGTCTGTCTGATTGACATCCATTAAAGTCATTCTTCGGACTGTCGTGATGGTTTCAAGTGCATCACACTCCGGATCGGTGTTCTGTAAGGTTTCAAGACAAGTTGCAAGCAAGTCATCTCCTTCCCATTCAAACTTTTCATTGATTGGTATGAACTCGGAAGGTGAAACCACCGTGCGTCGAACAGCGCTTCGACCACGAATAAGCATGATACTTTCGACGGCAGGATAACACAATGTAAGCTTATAAAAAGGATTGATGGAAAGAGGACCTTCGTATGCCAACCGCTTAACTCTGAGCCAATCGAAAGAGAGAGGAGCGTGTCTACAGCTCATTCTATGACCATTACAACGAGCACATTGAGAATATATGCCATCACGTTGCCAGTCAAAGTAGATACATGGCTGGGCGCGTTGTCCTTCAGTAAGTGCACTGTCCATAAGCTCGTTCAAAGTCTTCTGGTCCCAAAACCCCATCTCAGGATCCCTTGCAAATGACAAGTCGTACCATTTCAGAGCTACTTTTCTTGACTCTTGACAAGTGTGAAGCAAAGCTGGAATTGGCGCATCCGAATAAAGTGCTGCACTCCATTTGGACTCTCGAATCTTTATATAACGTGCTTCAGGACGGGCGAAGTGCCAAATTTGCCGTCGTACTTTTCCGGGAAGTTTTGAGAAGTACGGTAGCTTTTGAGGAGGCGCAGAATCTTCTTTTAGATCGGAAAGTCCCCACCCTACTGAAATTAGTAATTATCGAAGAAATTTCCAGCTGAGAGGAAAAGCTTACACTCGTCATCATCTTCAGGATCTGCCTCGGATTCTTCAGTCCCTTCAGTATCTTGATTGTACTCTGCTTCCTGAATTCCATCGGTCTCTTGAGCTTTTTGGGGTGATGACAGGGCTGTGGTATCAGATACTGTTTCTTCCAAATCGAATAGGACCGAGTCTGCTTGAAATATCAGAGTATGTCTCTGTAGGTGGTAATAAGAGAGGCTTACTGGTTTCTTCATGATCTGCTTGGCTTTCTTCGGGTTCCCCGAGTCTTTGATGTGATGATAAATCTATTAAGCCAGACTCCTCTTGAAGATCTAATAGACTTGACGCTAAATTGGAGGTTAGACGTCATTTTTTGTGCAAATGGTTGATGAATTTGAACTCACAAGGCTGATAGAAACTTGCTTGAAGCTTTTCAGTTTCATGATTTCTTTTGACAAAGAGTGTAGTTGTTCCCGCCTCTTCTGCCAAATCCAAAAGATTCCAGTCTGGCAAAAGGTCAATGATTACCTTGAAAGTTGAATGGTAGTCTGGAATTCTTACAATTTTCTTGAGATTCTGTTGTCGTTGCTTTCCACTTTTCATGTTCTCCACTGTTCTTGGAAACTTTTTGAGCTGCTCGAGAGATCTCCTCAACATCCTCAATCTCTTGCGTGTCTTTGGGTGTGATTTGAGGTGCGGTCGATACTATTGCCTCTTGCCTCTGCCTCCTATGATGACCTTGTCAAAAATGATGCGATCGAGAAAGAAGAAATACTAACTGTTCTGCCATGAGATTCAAGTAACGTTCCAACATTTGATCCTTCCCCGAGTCCCTTGAAGGGATCGATAAACCCGCCATCTTGATTGGAATTTTGTCAAGGAAACCAAGATTGTATTTGGATAGGTTGTTGTGCTGGATACTAAAGTTGAAGATATTCCTTACAAGAGATTCAAAGATGAAGGTGTGGTTGTAAACTAACCTGATTAGGCAAAACTCCATTCAGCAAGGACGACCTCTTTGGGAAGGACCACTTGAGTCCCTGCCGGATATGGCCGTGTGAAGCTCAAATCGATGTTTCTCTACTCTATCTTCTCTTACCCATCATAAGCTTTTCTCATGGAAGTCACATGACAATCATTCTCTTCATGTCGAAATCCAATCTTAGGAACTCTGTCTCCTCTGCCATCCATGTTCACATCAAACTCTCATTTCCTCAACTTGAACCAGTTCATCGAAAAGTTATTTTTAAATTATGGTTTATGTGATAATCACAAGATTTTTGACATTGGGACAAGCATCCCATATCTTCTCCCACCAATCCTTATTTCTAACAAAACATCATCTGCCTCGTTGAAGATAAACCGATTGAATCTTATTTACCGAATCACGATTTTCTTATCATTCAAAAGGTATATTCTATGAGATACTCAGTTTTCCAGCATACGCCAGTACCGCAAAAATATTGCAATTTGATCCCGTACGGACTACTTACTCAGAACGTAAGAACATTGTTCCAGTGTTGCAGCTAAAATTTATACGTTCGGTCTCTGAGGTCCCTTTCTACGCTTTTTGATCTTTTTCGATATTGGAAAAATTTAGCTTGAAATTTGTAAAAACGAGTAAATCTGGAGCAGGTATTGACTGTAATATGTTCTTGGGCAAATCTCGTTGGATAGCATTTCCGCATGGTCTTGGCGGAACATTGAGGCTACTGCTAAAACTTGCCCACACACAGTAGTCTGTCACTGTCCGAGGTGGAAAATTCTGCTGCTTTAAGTAATATGGTTTGAGATGGTGCTGCTTCTGATCCGGAAGTTACGTTTGAAAAGCACTAGAAGTTGAGCCACTGGCAGTTCCAGAAACATGTCTTGTCGGGATGAAATTAACGCCTGGTATTTTCCCGGCGATCCTACCGTCTTTGACCACTACATGTTTTGAAATCAGTATTTCTACTATCCTCGATATCTGATCCTGCAATTGGAGTCGACAACATCCAATACTGCTCCCAAGTGGCATGGTTGATCTGCCGCTGATTGGTAGAATCAGTAGATATCTGATCCTTCACCTTGCGCGTTTTAAAACGCCTCTTAGACCCTATTATCTGTTCAAAATTACGATCGCTACATGCGCCTCTGTACGATGCTCCAATTTTGACAGCAAAGTGTCGTAGAACACCCAAGACGGACAGTTCTTCTTCCATTCTTACAGCCTGATGTTTGATGCGTATTTCACCGATTGCAAGGAGGTCCAATGTATGTTCGTGGAATGTAAAGAGATCTCAAAAAGCTTAAATCTGCTTATTTGAAGGAGAGGCTGCCAGAGCAAAGTTGTCCAGCTGTATATAGCATGCAAATGACTCGCTGTACATGACTAAAACCCACTTGCAATTCCCAGATATAGTTGAACAAACTCGGCTGCTTTAGCTTATTGTTAGTTTGAAATTGAGATGAGTTAATAAATCGAGGAAATAGCCTAGGTCAATTGAAATTGAATCAGCCATCGCAAATACCATGCAAATCCCAGTCCATGAAATTGATTTCAAACGTTTTCCATTCTCTTTATCACTATCATTAATCCAATGGTCCATTTCTCTCGTGCCTCTTGGGCTCTATAGTGGCTACAATCTGCAATATTCGGAGGATAGAATCTATAATTAGAAGATAGAACCTACGTATGAAAGGTAATATTATCAATCCAAGGTAGGTTTTCCATACAGTTTCTAGCCAAATTAGAGTAGAATCTGATTAGCACAAGAGCAAGCCAATTGTGAGTTTGAAAGCATGAGAGTGCTTTTCCGTCCATTCAATCGCTTTTCCTACCCTCCCATCTTGTTTTCCAGTCCAGCAGTATCATTATTGATAATATCGTCTTTATAATTACGCTCCTTATCCGCTCTCCATTTTTCGCTCTTGGAGGTCTTTGTCTTACTATCTAATTTTGAAAGATTACAAAATTCAAGATACTTCATAGTCCATCTATGTGTGCAAAATATCAAAGAAGTATTGCGGGGTGATTACCTTGATTTTTATATGGTTGTTTGATGGCATTTCCCACTTTTCAAATCCAATTTTTGAGGTTCGCCTATTATCTTTTCATGTCCTGGATCCGAGTAGCTAGTTTTTATTATCTTGTCGGATATCATGTTCTGCATGATTTTATTTGAGTTGCTAGCTCTGGTAGTTACATAGACCTTATCGTCTGTTACAGCTGGCTTGAATGTAGCTATTGAAGCAGATCAAAGTTATGCCAACTGGTATATTTAAGCCTAGCTCGATATTCCTACAGGGCCGTTTTTGCTAGACTAGCAGTTGATCCCGTGATTGAGTCCGTTGCGGATACTAGACACTATTCCACGTGATTAGCTGACTACGCTTAAAGACCTCCATCAACGATGACTCTTAGCAATACTCCTGTCACTTTATCATATTCGTCGGCTAGTAGTCCATACAAGTCTTGATATTCTGAAATTTTATCATTAAACTAATCTCGAATTATCATACCATCTTCCCATTCAATACCCAACCCTCAATATTCCTTTCGCTCAAACTCCTCCCAAAATGTTTTCCGCGCTCTCAATCATAGCCTTCAATTGCTCTTGAATGGCGTCCAATCGCTGTTTAACATACCCCCTCATTCTTTCCAATTCAATCTCCAATTCATCAATCTCCTCTCTCACACCATCTGCCTTAACCCTGTAAAATTGATGAGCTTGGTCTGCAACCCCCTTTCGGAGCTTGTAGTCAAAATCAAGATAGCCACGCTTCTATCAAAGCAACAAATTAGCACACATTCAGCACATTTGCACTTTCGTTTCCACTACCGTGAACTTCAAAGTCTCACACCTCCTTGATATGGGGCACAGTGTGCTTACCTTCTTCTGATGCGCCGCAGTCATCAATCTCTCCCATTCAATCTTTCCATCGTCCCTCAGCTTTTTCTCCTGCATCTCCATCTTCTCTATCTTCGCCTTCCAGACATTTAGCACCTCAAAGTTAGAAAGCATGATCCTCCTCTCAACCGTTTCGAATTTCCGCGCGCGTTGGCCACCGCCGACGATTGGAAATCTACCAGGGACATCAACAACAGCCTCCACATTGTTGTAATCGAGGACTAAAGTTCATATTTCTTAGTACGAGCCGACACATGCGACATAACGTATCCGAAAGTTAAGAAGAACTTACAATAGTAAACCCAGACGTCCCACTCGATACACTGCTGCATATCCCGGGCCGGAGTCTTCCATTCTACCTGCTTGGCACGACAGCGCTCTACTGTGGCGTCAAATTCCTCCTCGGTGCAAACGCCGCGGTAGGAAAGCTTGTCATTGAGGACAAATTGCTTAATGTCCTCGAGTACAGATATATACTCAAGATCTGCCATTGTATTGCTGTGTCGTTGTTGGACTTTTTGTTTGGAGATAGAAGCTGTGTTGATGGAGAGAGAAATAGGATTGTGATGAGAAAGCAATTGAATTTAAAGAGAAAGAAAAGTCTGTGAGTTATCCGGATTTCTTCGGGTATGATTTTATTCAGGCCTCGAGGCAGGAACTTTTGGATGTGTGAACGACTCCATGATGGGATAAGTATGCGTGGGATGGAAGTTGATTTTTGACTTGTGAGTTTGTGTCTAGATGTTGTTTATTCCACTGACTCTAAGTGTCAGCTCCTGAATAAGACTCAGTAGGTTGCATTACCCAGATCTATAGAAGGCAGGGAGTTCAGGTATGGATAATTTCATTGACTATTTCAACTTTTTCAAGTATTAATCACATAAAAATGAGATATTCAGATATAAACAATGAATACATCAAAGACTACAGCTATGTATGACTCCTTATTGTAATCTTCCAAGCAGAAATAGCTAATCCCTTGGGAAATTCATCCTATCAACCAGACAAAACCCTTTCCATACATCCAGTCCTAAGAATACTTGAAACCTAACTTTCTTTCCAATAACAATAATCAAAGTAGATTCTTCTCTTAATAGAGAGCTTAAAATACAAAGAACATTCCCAATGATAGCATACTAAAAAACAGCTTTTGCTTGCTCCTTATTAGTTGAATATTCGGCTAACAAAACTTCGCGAACGCAACCGATTACGAAGACATAGAACCGAACTCTAAATATTCTCAGGCAGACATAAACATACATCATTAGCGCACAGCATGATGTAATGAATAATAGACAACTCTTCTTACCAGGATATTATAAGTTGGTTGTGGTAACCCCATACATTGAGGAACTATCCTGGCTAGATCTTGCGATGAGCATTCTGCGTGAAGACACCATGTAGAGCAGCGACGTGAAATTCAATGAGGTTCTTTGAGATGGACTGCTTGTTGTAGACGGTAGGCTGTAATATTTACGGGTTCTCCCTACTATTCCCATAGGAGTGACCGACCGGTGCTAAAGTTTTAGCATTAAGTAACAGGCACACCTCAAAATGTTGTAAATGTTCTAGGCTCTATGAGGCTTGAGTGCGGACACATTGATAGGATAGGACCGACAGAAAGTGATGCTCTGACTGCCATTGATATTAATGGAATGAAAAGCACGAATTTGAGCACGCGAAGAAATTTCAATCTTTAGATAGAGCTATACGAAGCAGGGTATCATTAATCCTCATCTCCATATCCCGAGGAATGATACTCAAATTCCGAAGGTAAAGGAGCATCCCCTTCAAGATCATCATCTACATTTCTACTCACAAGCGGCTTTTGGGCTTCTACCTCCGGTATTACACTTGGACTCGCAATCGGCTGCTTTGGTGCAGATATCGGTAATTTGCCCAAGACCCTCGTCATCCAAGCCGCCCATTCCCACGGTCTATCTCTACCCCCCGGCAACGAATTGAAATATTCCCAACCCATTACACCACCGAATGTAGGATAACTCAACTTCAGATTGAGAAGGACTTCCTGCAAAGTCTCAAAAGGCACCCATCCACTACCATTCCCCGGATTGGTAACCATACCCACCACGATTTTATGTGCAGGCCACCCCCTCATCATCATCATATCATATCCAGCAGTCTTGCTCATATCCCCCCACCCACAATAAAACTGGGTATTGTACCATTCAATACTACTTCCTCTCATAACCTCCAGAGCTTCGTAGTTGAATCCGCTTAGATTATGTTTTGGCAGTTCAGATACCAATGCCGCAGCCACAGGCGCAAGTGTAATGATAAATCCAGCTCCGAAATCCGCTTTCAGTCGATCAATCAATCGAATTATTCCAGCAAGAGTCATTTCTTCTTCAACATCGAGATCTAAACCATCGAGACCCCGTTCGCGGATAAGATTTCGTAAAGGAATGTAATAGAGTTCGAATGTGGCATCGTCCTGATCGAGTCGTGTGAATGAACCCTTTGCTGCCCCGCCAAGCATTCCCATTACTTTTATTCCGGAGGCTTGGAGGATTCGAAGCTCCGCCCACATGGTAACGAATCGTTCATGGTGAGGTACATGATCGTTCTGCCATTTGTTAATGCTTGCACACATAAATCAAAGAGAGATGTGGCAGATGTACCAGAGTTATATTTCCTGGGGGATCATTGAGATGAATCGCGGCGACATTGACATGTGTCACCGCGATGTTCGGTTTGGTTATGATAGGTAATATTGAACATAATTTGCCATCAGGATGATGTTGCGTCTGATAGTATATGACGATTCTAGGAGTTGTAGGAATTGGAAGGGGAGGCATTGGAGAAGAGTCGTTGTTGTTTGATTTGTTGGTGAGGTTGATGGTGGTCAGGGTCCTAGAATTAGTGTGGGGCTAGTCTGGTGGAGCACGAAGCTTATCCCGCTCGGAGTTTGACGTCGCCCTACGAATACCATTGTCACCATTGTGCAAGTGTTCATGATGGCATTGTGTGAATACTTTTAGTAGTCTTGAACGAAAGACACTTGCGAAGTCAACTTGTCGAGCTCAAGTTTGAATACACAACGGCGAGAATGATTCCGGTTTGATGAAATTATTTCTCCTGCTCCTCAGTCTCATCCCACGATGGTTGGTGATTATCATACAGACGAGGCTGCGAGGCTTTAGGCGTGCATTTAGTTATTATAATTCTATAATAATACCGCGGGAGACATTCGACGCCTTAGAAGTGGTCATTGCATTCCGGATGTTACTGGGCAGTGCGAACAGATGACCACAAGTGCTGCAGCTTTTTTGCACAACACGGTCATCAATAGAGGCTTCTCGCAGCACTTGAAAGGTATATTACAACAGTAATGCGTCCGACAAAACACTCATCCTGCAGAGTAACAATCATTTACATCTCAGAGACTGCTGATCCTGTGCTGTCCTATGTCTCTGCATCGCGTCCGTTGGCCTTGGATTGGCCGCATTTCATATACCGAAGCATAGAAAGGCTCCAGGCTCTACAAATTATCTTCAAAGCAGTTGAATGGCCGCGTATCACGGCAAGCTGTCTTTGTCATGAGAATCCTTCGCCACATGTGGTGCAACCCTCTAGAGCCAGGGAAATTGCCTTGCTCTGCGCAGAAAATGATACCTAAATCTGTTATTCTTACGCTGAATGGTTGTGCAGAAACATTGAAGAAGCTAAATGAAGGGGCTAGCAGACATGGAAAGGATAGACTTTCGAACAGACTTACATATTGTTTTGTGCGGGATGATTTAGCGGCCGCTTGCAATATGTTGGATAGCTTGCAGCATAATTTGAGCAATGCTCTTAAAGTTTGGATGTTGTACGTATGTCAAGCCGCTCCAAAAGGTTTGACACTGAAAGAAGAAGAGGGAAGACAGTACTCGCCATCAAGCAGATATAACCCAAATGATTACGGATCAATGTGTCACGCACTTTCACACCTCACGAAAATTCGAAGGCTGTTTTGAAATTTGTCAAAGAAAATAGATATTATAGTAAAGTTGCGTACATCAGGGCCCATGACTACATTACTAATTTGACACAGATATCAAGTAAACAGCAGCCTCTTCTCCAAAGCCCTTCTTTACTGGCAAAAAGATGCTTAGAGCTTAACGCCGCCAAGGCTGAATCCAGCTTTTTACTACTGAAACACAAACACAACGTTCGACTTCGTTTCCCTTGTCCGTGTCCTTGCAATTTATCAGCATCTCAATATGCTGATGGACATTGCGCCTCTGTGTATTCTGCCCTCTGGAAACAAAACTTTTCGAGTCTTCATACTTGTTCTATGTGTAAGGGTTGGCAATTAATTCGAAAGAAGTTCAATGTTTGCAACAAATTGCTAGGATACTGCATAGCATTCACTATGTTTCTCACGCGTGGTGCCGGCGGCTTTTCAATCGGCCCACTGCTGGGTTTTAGTGCCACAACACCTACTTCTTCGCCTGCTTTCCGCTTATTATATGCTACTAAATACATGCATCCCAATCGGTACCCCTTTCAAAGGGCTCTGGATGGTAAGAGCTTGGTATACTCGGAATATGATGCCTTACGGATGCACCCCAAGTTTGATAGCTCAGGTACATCGAACTGGGGCTCAAGTATCCACGCTATCAAATATGATGAGCCGGACAAAGCTATGGAATAGCTCGAAGAGCTTGTCAATCATACTTTGAATGAGTTGCGTATATCGTTTCAAAACGGGAAAGCGTCGCCCAACGATTTAGACAAATCGGGCACGCCGCTATCAGAGGTACGTATCCAGAGCACATTCTACATGGGTAGTTTTGCGTTTGACAACGAGTTCATCAAATTATCGAAAACGCGCAGCTATTCTAAGAAACAAAGACTAGCTAAGTGCCAACATGCGAGCGGAGTATTTCGCACATTTATCGAACATGCCAATTCCATCGGTTTGAGTACATCGTAGGTCTATTTTTTCATTATATTGAGCGCGTTCACGGTGAATCGTGGTTTGTTATAAACTTGCACATAATTCAAAGTGATAACATTTGCAGAAACATATTGGAATTTATCATCGAGTCTCGATTTTCGTTGCCTGAAGATTTCGATGAAGAAGACTTTACAAGACTCCAGGAGAGACTTTGCAACCTCGGCGCCATCATAAAGCATACGCCACGATATACCTGGAAGACAGAATTCCTTGTGATTTTATACGCCAGACACAGCGTATCGATGGTAAATTGTGTTCACTCTTTATTTTAGACTTAGCTAACAGTAAGCTCAGTGATTGACATGCCCACAATCCTCGAAGCAATTTTGCTACAATCTGAGAAAGGCTTGGAACACGTACTCTCTCAAGATCCGTCGGCGGTCAATGAAGTTCTTTACGAGAGTTGAGAAACTACATTACATCTCGCACATCAATGGCCGCAAGGATTAAGGATTCTTATTCGTGCAGGGGGTAACGTGAATCAATGCAATGATTGCGGTGAACTGCCGCTTACATTGGCAGCGAATAGAAATTGCTATTTATCAATGAAGATTCTCCTTGAGAATGGCAGCATGCTCCGCACTTGGTCCCCGCAATATTCGTGGAATTTGAGGGGTGATGATGCAAATGATTCTTTGAGATGCTTCAGAAATCGGAGGGATTCATGGAGATCGACAATCTTTGATCATTTGATTTAAAGAAGATATGGGTTACTCGAGCTAGCCCGATCTTTGATGATCGCTTCTCCCACGAGCATATCTCGATGGCTCAAAACAGACAGTGTTCTGGATACTCAGGCTGCTGATGCGGTAAAGGAACTCAAGAGCCATAGGGTATACATAGACCCGATACTCCTCCCTAAATTTCACCCAAAGACAACTACAGTCTAACACATGACAAATCTCACTCCAGAATTAGCAGAAGCTCTTTATCAATTTGGCTTTCTCGACATAGATTCACGTGATCATGAAGGCCGCTTGCCCATATTGGCACAAACAAAGTTTGAGACGTATGAAGCTTTTGATCTGCCACGTTGGCTTATCACGGAAGGAGTTGATCTCATAGGAACACTGGACAAGGAGAACATGATTACAACTTTACATGAGGTTTGCAGTTCCGTCGGAAACAATCGCAGACGTTGGATCATGAAGAACTAGGAGGAAACGAAGAAGCCTCCTGAGAATATTGACCTGATGGATATGGAATTTCCGCAAACTGTTCCATTAGACCTTTTAGACGTTGATGTCATCGATTCTTTTGTCTGTGCTTGCTCAATGAGTGGCTGTCCACCAATCACATGCTTTTGGGTAATTTGCAGGTGGAGTTCAAAACTGGGAACCCCGATCACCTTTGTGGAAACCGGGAGGTATTAGACTACGTCCCGTGGGTAACGTGGTGGGGCGAGGCAATGGTGAGAATATTTGCAAAAGTGCTGGAATCAAAGTTTAGCACATGTCCCTGGCTAGTCCATAACATTATTCGACAATGTACTTTTCTATAAGCTGGGACTTACGCATATGTGTAACTGTAGTCAGAGAATTTGTCCACCTGCCAACTCGTTTACGAAAGATGAAGTATACAATATCATGGAAGAAGAGCAAGGCATGATAGAGCAGCTTGAAAGCCTCACAGCTGAGTTTGAAAAGAATTTTGCAAAGTCTGGGAAGCCACTACATGCGTTTTTGAAAGACGATTGGAAATCGAGGATGGAGGAGATCATGTCCGAGAGTACCTTAAACGAAGAGTATGTGAAAGGAGTTCGAGAAATTGGTGTGATCATGCGATGAATGCTCAAAGTTTTGTTCGTTGAAACTGAGCAGGGAAACTATCTCCGCAATACAATACACGCGTCTAACATGAAGCCTTAAGCTCCTGTGAATCTATCCATTGTTTCAGCGGGGCGTATACGGAAAGAGGTCTCATTTGGAGGAAAGTAGCACTAAGTTTCTTTTGTGATAAATGAATTCACAGTTGCATGGGCTTGGATCACGAATTTTGTTTCAAGATCAGGATGATCTTATCCTCCCGCCTTTTGTTTGTATTAGCTGTCTTGAATTGATCATTATTCTCTGCAGAACTTGTCATCTATCGACCATTTACAGCTGTTTGTGAAGATTAGATATTATTCATGGTATCAGCCAACAAATTTCTTTAAAATGAAATGTGCAGATTTCCGAAAATTCTATGTTTAGCAACACGGTTTTTGTAAAATCTTCCTAACACTAACTTTTGAAAGACTATGAATTTGATTTTCAAATGGCAGGCACAAGGTGTCCAAGTTTGTCTTAAATAGGTACGGAAGCAAGTTTCTTATACAGTATGTCCAATCTTTCACTCGTCCCAATTTCAAGACAAAGGGAGTCAGTAATATCACCAGGATTAAGAATGCTGTCCTAGGTTCGAACTATATCGAGTAAGCGAGGATCAGATGTATTGTCAAAACATGAGATCATTGTTTGAATCTGCATGGCATTTTTGGGGGTGTAATGGAAGTCCTGTAGCAGAACTGTTTTGAAACGATGTCAATTTATTATGGAGATTTGATACCATCGTTTAGTTTATGAGAAGTATTTGTGCTATTTCATGGCGAACTGATTCGTCGACTTGTTTCATGTGCTAGCTTGGTAAGCTTCGTTGGTGGTAGAAGCATGTTGGCATAGCTATCATAAAGGTATTGAAAAGCTTTTATGAGTTCATTGATGGAAAGAGAGTTGTATGGTGAAGTTGAATTATCCATCTACTTGGGCTGACTTGGGCTTGGTCTTATAATTTGTTTCCTTTTCCTTTTTTCTCCTCATTGTTACTGTCTGAAGACCATATTTATTACATCCTGAGAGTGTAGTGATTACTTTGAGGGGTAATCATTGTCTAATACACTATCAGTGATAGATACCCAGGAGATTTTTAATCCATGTTCAAAACTGTAGAACTCAAAGAGAAGTAGCTCACTTTTTGTTTTGATGGACTTTGCTTGGATAAAAGAGGTTCTTCCTTGACAACAAAATTATCAACCGTGAGAGCCACTAGGTTTGAAGCTGACTTTAGTTGATGGCATCCGTTCGTCCAAGTGTCTGAACAATGGCTGCTGGCTTCTAAGTTGTGAAAATAACTTCAAAGAATAGAGTTAATCATTGTATACCTACCTTAACCATGAAAAAATTATAGTACAATCACAAATGACTCATTGAACTGGAGTAAGTTTCAGCAGTATTATATCCCTTTTAAATAGGTGAATCTGCCATAGACAAAAAAATCCACATCCGTTGCAAATGGAAAAACTAAGTAACTCTCACTGGGAGGACTTCCATCTAAGAAATATGCAGAAATCCCTTTTAGCTATTGAAACAAATCTTTATACCTAGAAATACAGTGATCTAAATGGTTCTATTCACACTTATGTTAAGCTTGTCTCTCGAGTGGTTCGAAGTGTTTGTATATTCTATTATCAAAAGAGCAATCAATCGTATGATCTTGATCTTGGGTTATCAAATTCACTCATTTGAGTGATCCCAGTCAGTGCTGCCGTATATGATTGGAAAATTCTGATGATACAGCAGGAGAATTATCGGAACTCAAATCTTATTAGCTGTAGAAACATCTAGTCCGCTAGTGATACAGCATATTATCACTACGGTCTTTGGGCTCTGCAGCTTGAAAGGCTATTTAATAACCTCTCTACTCTTCAAATATCTTCCTTCATCTCCAAATACTCTCATACTCTATTGACAAAATATTCAAGCACTTCCTCTAAATCCAGTTTGACCTCAACGCGATCTTACACACAGCTTATCAACCATGGAAAATTATCCATTTTACCAATCAATCGGCCGTCACCTACAACATATGATTGTTGTCGAGTCCCGATCATATCGCGGACAAGTCAACAATGAGGAGTTTTTGGCAGTTGCTACGTATTGGAGCGAAATGATTCAAAATAACGACTATCATCGAGCTCTTGCCCGCCCCGACTTTAATCTATACAACATAGACTTTAAGATATGGGAACACTTTTGTAAGTTCTAATCCATCACCTCTATCTAAGTAATTGAGAACTAATAAGCCATGACAGTTGCCATGAACACCACAGACAATTGGATATCATTCCCATGTGTCGATCCTCGTGGACCACTGGACATACCCGACATGAATCCATTCCCAGTCACTCACTATAGTCCTCGGCCAGCCGATCGTGCACCCATTGCGCCAGCCCAACAAAAGACAGCCCCTGATGTTGGAGCTTCCACTCAAACTCCAATCTCATTGGTTAGAGAACAACTCCCGGCATATCACCACGGCCTCTCCGCTAATGAGATGGAGCTATTAGCACGAAGAGAGGTCAACGAACGTTTAAGACGAGGAGTCAAAGGCCGGTCCGCCAAGCAATCGCGATTTCAGTAAGAAACGTCTAAATGCTGGTTAAAATCACGTTCTCTGTGATACTGATACTGCTTGTCAATCTTACTCCCTATCCTATATCGGACAGATTCTACAAGTTGTTGTGGATATACAAGGGAGCTAAATTTAAAAGGATGTGAGATGGTGAGGTTGTGGGGGGCGGGGGGTACAGGATTCATAATGATGGATTTTGATGAAGTGATATCAACTCAACAGGCATCTTTCCATATGATCCATTCTCCGTAGGCTATAGCAATCGACGAAGTTAGCACATTTATCAAATACGATTTTGTGTTCTCTCCCTACACTTAGAGTATATGCATGCTCAAAATTCCATGCTGATACATTGTTGATTAAGACTAAATTCTTCGAGTGCATTTTCGCAGCAGATCGCAACCCCACGAGAGAGTTTCAATTAGATCATCAGAGTAGAAAACAAGATCTCAAGTTAGGTTTTGAACACAAGCCTTGCTTCGCAGTCTTTCGAGAACTAAATTACCTTGCCATATGCCCCTTGCAGGGCAATCTTTCTATGAATATATTTGTACATTTAACACGTCGTCTTCGCATCAAGCTTGAATAATAGATTCAACGTGCCTAAATTTTGAGATTCTTTATGATAAACGGCTGAACAACAAAACATGGCCAATAAGAAACAGCTTGTTTGTATTTCCTTCCAAGCATTATTGAGGTCCTCTCGGTGGGTAAGTAGATTGAGTTCTGTCATTCAGAAACGAATTTGAAGACAAAGTATTCTAATGAAGGAAATCTGAATGAGTCTGTCATGTTCTGAGTGGTAGAACAAGGTAACTTGACGAGGAAAATATAATGCAAGGGCAAATGGGCAATGCAAAGAAAGGAGCCTTAACTTCTAGCATTATTGATCTGAGAAATTGTAGAGATGAAGTGGCAGCTTAACTTAACAACCTCAAGTTGACGAGTTGCCTACTCTTTTTACTGTAACAATCTGGTATACATCAGCATGGATAGACACTTATCTTACTTGTATTATAACCTCATTACCTCGGACAAATCTTGCTTTGGAAACTATGCAAAATTTCATCAGGGTGCCTCGATTCCTTTCCATCGAGATAATGTTGTGCGAGTGTGCGAGTCGCACACTCGACACGATTCCGTCCGATTCGAATCTTAGTAACGTCATATCGGCTTCTTAATGCTTATTTTTCTGAGGGGATGCGTCGATGACGAAAAATGGCGCTTATCAATCGCTTGGAGACCAGAATTTCATAGAATAGAGCGCGGCAGAGTGCCAGCCAAGCTTTGGGAGTCTAGAAGACCGAGGATGAAAATTTGAATACTGCTCAGGGGAAGAATTGGAGAGTCCATCATATGATCAAATATAGGATGCATGGAGATGAAAGAATCATCTACTACGAATACATGGCCAGCGAGTAGTCGACGTTTACCCACATCTCAGGCTAAAATTGGTTGGCTTAATGGTGCTGGATTCTTTCAATAGTGTGCTCAAGAACTTATTAGATTGTGGTATATGAATGGATTGGTCCCGTTTCATAAATTTAGATTCTTAGCAAGCGTTTCGCTAGCGGGCCATACTTGTGGATGTACCTAGGAAGTGGGGGTCTAATTGGAGACATGAAAGTTCAGATTAAACTCGTTCATTCGGCATTCAGTCAAATGGCGATAGGCCTGACTCAATGCCAATAGGCTATTCAGAAAAATAAATTCACTTTGTATCCCGAGAATTTGCGGCAAATGTACGGCGATCAGCTCGAAGTAGCTGGCAAGTCCTCTTTCGAAGCCGGATAAACGGAAGCCAAGATTTATACTGAAGAGAATTACTTCACTCAACTGCAAAGTTTAAACCCAAACAAGGCGGAGAGAAGATTGGCGAATGCGAAAGACACGTTATATTTGACTTACAAATACGATATCGATACTTATGACACATGTGTGCCGCTGTAATAAGTACCTCCACGATCTCTTGAACTTTTCTTCCGGACAGAGACTATGGCTTCGATCGCGAGAAATTCCTTATAACCATCAGTTCTCCCAGGTTCAAACCCATTTTGACATCCATGGAGCATCTCATCTTCATAATAAATTTCAGCTTAACCGCGGCTTTTTCACATACATCGAATCCTTATTATTGGAAATCATAATCATAAACCCCTTTTATAAAAAAAGAAAAGTCCCTCTTCATAATCAAAGCCACGGTAGATAGATACTCGACATGGCCGATGAGATTACGCCTGTCGGCGATACACACAGAATGCCAAAATTATATGAATCGGTACTTCCAGACCTTGGTCGTCTACTTCTCAGTCAACACTTGCCATCTGTGGATGGCAAAACTGTCACAGTTGATGAGTTTGCCGCTGCAGTAGAGAAAGCAAAATCACATATTCATAGCAAGAAAGTTTTTCTTCAACTACACATACTTCGACCAGATTATGTGCAATTTCTTGTTGATCGGGAAGCTTGGGAAACATTCTGTAAGTGTTCGATTGATTATCCCGCATCTTCAAGAGAGATAAGACTAACTATCACCAACTACAGGCGGAACTCCAGCCCAGAAAGCCCATCCAAACTACAGACCCTTTCCAAGAAAAGATCCTCGAATTGATAATCCTCTTCCTCAGTATTTTGACCCCAACATTCTTACACCTGATAGTTATGGTCTCATCTATCGCGATAATTTACACCCAGATTGTCCTAACTGCAACTGTGGCATCATTTCCCGAAGTGATTCCGAGAAACAACACATGTATGAAGATGGAGGTGTTCGTATGACTACACCTAAAGAAGAATATTTTGCTTATCAGAACGAGCTTGATGAGTTTCGTGAGAGACTTGAAGCTAAGTCTAAGAGACTAGGTTATAAAGACGCTGATGAGCGGTGGGAGAAGGAGTGTGAGATTCAACAGGCTGAGGAAGATGAGAGGATCAGAAATGAGAATGAGCCAAAGGGAAAGTCTGATGTAGAGGCAATCAAGATCAATGAGGTGGGTATCGTGGAAAATGCAGAAGAGTCAAAGGAGACAAAGAAAAAGGTTGATATAGTGACAATTAAGATCAACGAGGCGGAAATCCTAGAGAATGCAGAAGAGCCAGAGGAACCTAAGAAAAAGGCTGATCCAGTGACAATTAAGATCAACAAGGAGGAGATCCTAGAGAATGCAGAAGAGGCAAAGGAACCAAAGACAAAGACAAAAGCTACGTCAGGAAAGTCGAAGGTAAAGAGTACCAAGAAGCTTTGTTCTGGTTGTTTCTGCATGTAGCAACATGGTGGGGATGGTTATAATATGATGGGGCTAAGATATTGCAAGTCTAGCACTCCCAGATGGTGGGGCATAGGTTAGCACGGCGGGGAGTTTGTTCAAAACATGGTTTTTATTTCTCTTCATTCTAGCTACTAGATATGAAGATATCAAGTGTTTGATATCTTCATATCTAGTAGTACTCACTGAAGATGTTACGAAAAAAATTCTTATGTCTCGGTTATTTATGAAAGCCTCTGATCTACCGGCTTTGAATGTATGAAACTAGTTTGAAGGGCGATTTGAGGATGAGATTTCTGGAAAGAAAATGATGACTCCTCAAACAGAAGCCAGTATTTATTTCTTTCACAACTAAAGACTAGCAAGCATACAGATGGGGGATGTAGCCTCCTATAACTCAACTTAATTCATTCATTTGTAATACTACTTCTCTCTACGCCTTGAAAGTGCTTTGAACATCTTCTAGCCCTAGCGATCTACTATACAAGACTACACCTTGAAGATAGCTAATGAAATGATACAAGGTAAAATTTGCCTGCAAAGAAAACCCACACAGATGAAAGGGAGCTAAAATTGAATAGTCGTAAAGAACATGCCACCGCAGCTGCTTTAAATTAAAGAGCAATTACATCATGAGAAAAAACCCTACATGTCTTCCGTCTATGCCGCGGCTCTGAACCCTCAGTTGGCTCAGGCCCCAGAGATAATTCATTTCTTAGCAGTGGAGAAGGATAGACCCCCAGAGCTCGGCGAGTGGTGAGGCTGTGCATATAGAGTCATTGAACAATGATGTCATTAATCTAATGCTGATAAATCTTCTTTTGTCAACTGCAGCATTTAATCGGGAAAAGAGGTGTCATTCATGAGCCGGGCGTTGGAAACATTTTGACTAACAGCACAAATGCGTCACGTCGCAAATATGAAACCTCCGCCACTTTCTTCAAAAGCCATTCTGAGTGAGCAGGTGATATAAATCTCTTTACCATGATATCTCATGGTGAGAAGATCGTGCGGTAATCTAATTCTGCCTTTTTGCGCAAAGCTGTGTATCACCATGAATCCACAACTTTCGCAGATGTCACCTCTTCCTCTTATACCATCGCTGAACGAGGAACGACCATGACGCGGAAGGTCGAACAATGATGCAACACTTGCACCTGAGCTGGAGAAGGAAGAAAAATCGAATCAAGTGCTTCCTCAATAATGGAGATCTCCCATGCATCACCCTCTCTTATGATTAGCGAGAATTGACCCTATAAAGACCTGGTACAGTTATGGATAGCTCATTGCAAACCCCAGACCGCATACGCCCGAGCTTGTTGCTTTTTAACATCGAAATGAAAATTAAATAAATAATCGATTGCCTTATTACTTTTTCCTGAAATTTCTGAATGCTCAGCACCAAGTTTGAACAACATGACCAGACTCTACATAGGAGAAAAAAGAGGCCGGTTTTGATCACTTTTTAATACCCTCAATAACCAAATTCTTTTTCTTAAATCTAAAATAAAACATAAACTTTGATAAGAATTAGTATAATTAAAAGATAAAAAGTAGTTTGATATTTTCAGATTTATTTGTTTTATTTATAATTGATTTATAATTCAATTAATTCAGAGATTTCATTGAAGATTTATATAGTCAAAATCGGCCTCTTTTTTCTCCTATGTAGAGCCAGAGTCATTCTCGTTTAAAATGATCAATTAGATAAGGTTAGATCATAGATGTGATACCTCGAATGTGGGGGCTCGGGGGGGGGTGTCTTTCATAATCTTAGTCATACACACCTCAGTATTAAGGTTACAGTAACCTCTCGTGATTGTAGCAAGGAAAAACAATACCTGATGCCGTTTGCTTTTTTTGCCTGATGATGATCAAACAGACACATGGGATGACTTCATTTCACTCGTGTTTATATGTAATGAATATGAGAACCGGTAAGGAATCATCAACCAAAAACGTCAATTCGCGATGGTGTTTCTTGGGGATTCAAGTCTCAAGGGCGGTTCAATATTGACATATCGGGCGCATTCCAATCGCTCTCAGTGTAAGGGAGAAATTGTACAAATGCCAATAAGATATCCAGGAGAAATCAATCTGACTACAAGTAGGAATGTGAGAATACATTCCTTCTCAGAACTGCCATGGCAACTTTTACATTTTGGCAGTCTCTGTTTGTTGTTTCTTTTTCGAACTTCCACCATCATTCTTTCATCAAGTTTACTTCACGAAATACCCTCTAAGTAAAGTGATATCGCAAGTGCAGATATTATGCCATCATATGAGAAAGTGTTCTTCACAGATATAGTGTCATCCGCATTCATTTAGATTTAACGACGGAGGGAAGGACGCCAAAAGCATCGAGCTTGGAATTCTGCGACAAACCCAATTGGACATTTTGTACAATTTAATATTTTGAATATGCCTCCTCCATCTATAGGAGCAGAAGTCCCAATAGGGTCCGGAAGTATACCGTTGGGTGGGATTATTGGTATTGCCATTGGCGGTGCTATCGCATTGACTGTGCTTGGGGTTATAGCAGTCAAATATGTAAAACGAAATCATCGAAATGCAATCAAACTTCGCGGGGATAAAGTTCAAGACGACAAAAATACGAGTTCAGCTGGGCAAGCAAATCTATCGCCGTATTCACTTCCTCTGTTTGCAACTCCTTACCATTACCTTCCGCCCAGGAACGTCCCCGGTCGGCGCGGTACGGCGAAGAATACAAGCTTTGTTGACGACGATGACGATGAGGAGGATGAAAATGTTGTCAGACCGGGTACGAAGAGATCATCCGGGCCAAAGCACCTCTTCCAAAGGCATAGATCTAGTATCAGAGATTCATGGCCATTGGCATCCAGGATTCAGACACCCGCAACTTCGCTCCCCCATGCTCAATCAGAGAAAAACATACGAATCAATTGTGTCGCCCCACCAGGCTATGTTCTTTCGGAGCCACAGCGTCCAAAAAGGACGTTTTCGAGGAAGTCTCATGTCAAAAATTCCGATTCTGTCGAGGATATCACAATAGTAAATGGGGAGCCTCGAGTACCCCGTGGTAGGACTCGATCCAACTCAGAAAACCAGTTATCATCAATTCTGAAATCAACATCTCAACGTCTCAGGGACACCCACAGACAATCTGTGAGGAGAAGTTGGAGCAATCTAGGAAGATTTCCAGGATCACCCCCCAAACAAAGACTACCTAGTCCACCGTTGAACAAAGCCACAGAAAGCAGAGAAGTTCTTCTTGCACCCGAATGCTCTACATCAGACATTGGTTCTTATAAAGAGATGCAATCACCACGAACTCCAAGTCCTGGAAAGAGAGTTCCACGAGCGGCTGGTAGAGCATTTAAAAATCGAGGACGATCACCGACACCATCTGGAGATTCAGATGACAGCCTTTGTGGCATCGATACACCTGATCTTGTTATTCCGGCGCAGCTCACGTCGCCAAGCAAAAGTGGACGAAGATTTGAACAGCGCCATCAAATGAATCTTTCTCCTACCAAGGGCTCTAATGGAGAAGTCAAGACAAACCGAGTCTCTAAAACATCACTCACAAATGATCCGTTCTTCTCCTCGGTTAAGAGGTCGAAAGTTATCCCTTCTACTACAATTTATGAGCCACAACCCCGTTCTATGAGAAAGGCTACTTTCGGGCAGGAAGAGATACGAGAGCAAGCAATGAATCATGGTGACCTGCCATTGAAGGATATTTCAGGAAATCAAAAAGGTCCACTGGTCAAGGAACCTCGATCCACTCCAACGTCGACTGAGCTCAACCCGTTCCAGTGGTCACCGAAAGAAGCTATGCAAACTCGACCCATTATAGCAAGCCCCAATAAGATCTTATCGAAGAGAAAGGGACATAAACGTTCGAATGTGATACGAATGTCTGGTTTATCTAGACCAACCAGTGTTAGTGTGGTTCATGAAGAGTCGGAAGGGGACTCTCCCGGGATGACAATGATGATATCTCGACCAACTCTCCGTGTAGTTGAGCCAAGTCCTTCATGTGCCTCACTCGCCAGCCGACGGTCCAGTGCTATGCCTCGACCCCCGTCAGCTTCTACCTTCAATCCCAGCATCTCTATACCCTCTTTGAAGCCAGGCTCACGACATGTGTCATTGAGTCGTGAAAGGTCCGCGACACCACCTCCTTTGAGGATTAGCCCGGCTTTCAATATTCCACAACTCAAACCAGTAGAAAAACATACACCCCCCGAGCGGGAAGTATACACCCCTACCCCACCACCTTCAAAGGTCAACTCGATTCTCAGTGCTCCTTCATTGAAGCCAATAGAACGAAATATATCTGGGTCGTCAAATCCCGATGAATATTCCCCAACATTATCAGTTTGTAATTATTATGCCGAGAACTTGAATTCTGAAGTTGAGTTCTTTAAACATGCCCGATCATCACTTGCTATGAAGTCCCAAGTCCGTCGTCATATACAGAACATTGATGAAGAAGTTATAAGCCCTGATACCCCAACGGATACTTTGGTTTCATTTCCGGCACTGCCTCCGCCAGAACCGATCATTGAAGAAAATAGAATTCATCATCCTGATGTTCTGGAATCGTGGAGGACGGAATGTCCGCCATCACTAGCTAGCAATCCGTCGAGTTTTTCCCGAGCACCAAATTCGACCATCTCAAACTCGAGAGCACCAAGCCCTAAGCGAGTGTCTTTCAATGAAATTCCAAATAATAGACCACCCAGCTCTGCACGATTTTCTCAGTCCTCGATTAACACCTCTAACAATGCGTTGGTTCTCGGCCCTAGACCCTTCTCGCGCGCAAACCCACCGTCTCCATTGACTATTCCGTCCACATCCTTACCCGCACCGCCAATTCTCAGCCCACCTTTACCAATTCCTGTTCATCTTACCGGGCCCCGACCAGAACCTCACAAATCTGGGTCATTTAGCACTGCAATGACCACTCTTGCATCAAATACTCCTAACTCCACTCGTGAGTCAATTGCTACAAGCATTGGTCTCCTACGTCGAATGAACTCTGAGATTTCTTGTATCAGTGCCGGTGATACTGACTCTTCTCCGATGGTGCCTGGAATTGGTCTTGACTGGAGTGAGCGACATCGTACAAGCCGTTCATCTCGATTTTATCTCTCAATCGGCTCACCTATCGATGGAGCAGCCGTTCCAAGTTACCGCTCCTCTCTCAGTATGCTCTATCCAAATTCTTATTCTGCATATTCCAACTCGTATTTTCCTCAAGGAAATGATTCAAGTACTAGCGTCAACAGTATTGGTGAGAGGCGCCAGTCGAGGAGTGACTTGATGAATCCCAACTACGGAAATCTGCAAGAGATACTTGAGGATATCAATGCGAGTCGTGAGGGAAGCAGAGGTGCAAGCACCAGAGGCAGTAGTCCAATAGCAATGGGGAGACATGGATTAAACGTCAAGGAGAAGAAATTATCCTTGACGAATCTGACTATCCTCCCTGATGGGGGAATTGGTTACATGATGGACTACGACGATGAGGATGAAATTGTTATTGAACCCTTGTCGTTATCGAAAACCAAGACAAATATAGAGAAGGAAGTGAAAGTAACCAAAGATACCAAAGATACACGCTGGTCCGATGCAATGATCAAGCCTCTCACGAAAACCACTCGTCGAGAAAGCAAGATGGAACATCCCAGCCCCAAAACACCACCAAAGTGGGGGTGGAGTCAAGCGGTAAATGTAGCAAAAGAAAGGTTGAGTAGGAGTCCAACTAGGGATAAGGAAAACGTGGTGGATGGCGATTGGGATAGAGGAAGAGATAGTCCCGAGAGTCTAGGGCTGTACGATCAAGATGGATTCTTGAGAACTTCGCCAGAACGAACGACTGTAGATGCAAATCAGAGTGAGGATAGTAGGGGAAGAGTAAGGCGAGCAACGGTTAATGCGTTTGCTGGGGATTTAATGGAGCAGAAGAGGAGAGAGAAGTTATCTGCGCACATAGTTACGTCATAAGATTTGGATATGGAGAATTTATGGAATGCAGACGTACAGTTTTAGGGACCACTGGTGGACAGAGGGGGTGAGAAAGAAGGAGAGATGTTCGTCTCTTTCATCGTTGGGTTTTCGTAATATATAAGATTATAGTTGATCTTTTTACATCTAGCATCGAGACGGTCTCTATATCATGACGTCAAATAATTTATTTAATATGCCAATATTATTTTTCTTTGTTTATCAACTAGTTCATACAATTAGTCATTAATATACACTACGCGACTAGTAGGAAACTATGAAAAATCAAATTCCTTAAAATACTCGAAACTTCTCTCTAGAAGCACTATTTTATTTCAGAAAACCGATCGCCGAGTCTCCAAGAATCACAAACAACATGCACTATCCGCATTTTTATCATCATCACCTCCACCTCAGCCTAAACTCTCCTTTCCCATTTCCTTCTCCAACACCTCAGTTACACCTTCATCACCATGAATAACGACTTCTGATTTCTTCAATGAGTATTTAACTGGTTTTGCGGCGTTGAAAATTTCGGTTAATTCTTCGAGCTATGATTTTACGACTGTCAGTCAAAGCCCAGAGTTCATGGTGCTAAATTGGATAGATTGGGTTGGGTAAATGAGATGAAGAGAGAGCTGAATGATGGTAGTTACCGTTCTGCCTTTGGTTTCTACGAAGAAGAACTATGGGGTGTTAGTTGGTAAGTTCTGTTGTGTGGAAAACGGAGAGGAATTTGAAACGTCAGGGTGGGGGATCTTACGTATATGAAAGCCACTTCGAGTAGATCCCAGAATATGAACCTGAACAATAATCAGCACACTCTTTGAACTTCAACCCCTAACTCATCAAATCATTATCAAAAACAACTCACAAATAATAATACCTCCACCCCGCCCCACTAAACGCAATCCCTGTCACAAAGGTGTTATAAAACCCCGCTACATTTCCCACCAGAGTATAAACTGCCATTCCCTTTGCTCGACTCTCATACCTCAGCACCTCCACCGCATATAGTCCTTGCATCGGCGTCCAACCGACTGCAAACACAAATGAGAAGAGGAAAATCATGGCGATTTCGGCGCTAGATGCTGCTGCTGATTTTGCGACTGTGAGGTGAGTTCCAGGATCGGTGGTTGTGTTTAAGGCGTTGAGGATTAGAATAATGAGGAAGAGAAGAGAGATGAGGGAGGTGGAGATGAGAAGTTGAGGGCGTCGGCCCCAGTGATCGGTGTAGGCTGCTCCTATGATAGCACCGATGAAGGAGAGGACTGATTGCATGCCTTGCTGATTTGGATGAGTTGCGGAGTTGACTGAAGGATAATTGAGTGGAATGCTTACGAGAAGTAATTGGGTGTGATTATTTTCTATTCCTGCACCTGCTAGCATTTGTGGGTAGTAGTAACTGACGGGACCTAGGTACTCAAACATCAACCCTGAAATACCACCTCACGGTTCAATTTATAAAACTCAAAATGAAATATGAAATATGACACATACCATTACCAGTCCACTGACCAAACAGAGCAATAGCACAAGTCAGCATAGTACGATATCGAACTTCCCTCGTATCAAACAATTCTCTGAAATCCCACCATCGTTTATCAGCACCCGTTTTGGAGATCTCCTCCATCATCTCGCGGAGTTCGAGTTGCACTAAGGGAGAACTGCGGTCGCCTTCACCGTGATATTTTGCCATAATGTCGAGTGCTTCTTCATGTCGATCATTCGCTACCAGCCATCTTGGACTCTGTGTCTCATTAGCATTTGTCTTTCTCATCCCCCGAGCTTTGAATTCTCAAAGAAATAAAAGAACATACCTCTGGCAGAAACAGCACCGAGATGAAGACAATCCCCGAAAAAGTCATTTGCAACCATAAAGGGATTCTCCAAGCTTGAGATCCATTGATGTAGCTCGTAGCATATGGTACTACCAACTTCAGCACTTGTTCAAGGAAAGGACCGGAGAATACACTAACTGAATGTCCCAGGTATAGCTCCCACGAAATAAAAAGTCGTATAAACACCAGTCATCGCGCCTCGAAAAGATGGATGCGCCATTTCGCTTACACTATACACTGTGAGACTTGTCTGTTCCCCTTTCCTTCCGCTCCAAATATTCAGTATGCACCTACTAGGGTAATGCAGAACTGGGGCCCATTGCCGCGCCGACACCTTGGGAAATTAGCGTCCTGAAAGTTTAAGGGCCACACAAGTACTATCAGATACGTACCGAGCATAAATCTTCCAATCATAAAGGCTGCCAAGTTCTGACTGGTAGCTTGCACAATTGCTCCCACGATAATAACGCCCGCGCCCAAGAACATACCCCATCGTCTTCCCTTCCACTAACGGATTCATTTCTATTAGCATCCTTCTTCCAAATCCTTTTCCCACTCTCTCATGCTCTAACTTTTCACTCCCCTTTTCTCCCACTATTCCCAAAAAAGAAACAACCTACATCAGCAGCCGGACCCGCAAACCCCGCCCCAACCAAATTCCCAATCGTAAACATCGCATAAACAATTCCCGTCGCCGGTGTTCCCTCCGTAAGATCAAATCCAAAATAACTCCTATACTGCGCATACGAATTGATCGAGCTCATCACACTTCCATCGTATCCATTGACTGCCGCGTTCAGCGTGGCCAGAAGAAGGATTACGTAGAGCTGACCCATTCTCCATGTCCACAGACTGGGTTTTTGTTTAGCTGTCGCATCTGCTAGGGCGATATTTTGTACTGTTCTTATTGTGGTGGATGGTTCTTCGCGTTCATGATGATGTTGTTGTTCGCCACGAGCAGATGTATCTGTGTTCGGTGAAGCTTTCCATGCATCTAATTCGGTGTTTTTGGATACTGATTTCGCCATCTTGGAATGTTATTTATGAAGTATGATCGTATCTATGCAAAGATATCGAAGTTGTTCACAAAAGCGATGCGAGAGTAATTTTTATTAAAGCCATCCATCTGTTGTTTTAACTGACATGGAATAAAGGAATCGTATTCACTATTTATCACGAATGTACCAAAGCAAAAGATTGCATGCAGGAAAAGGCTTATATATTTTTCGATCTTATCATGGAATAGTACATAACATAATTAGGCACAGAAAAGTAAAATCCCGAAGTCTATAAATCGGTACTCTTTCCCCCATCCAGCGCAAACTACATGGTCAAGAAAACGCACGTTGACCGGTAAATGATATGCACTGCAACGCAAACTTTACAATCATTGGTTTGAAAAGTCATAAATCGAGGGGTACAACGACGATCACTTACCTTACCCCACTTTCAACGTACGTTCATTAGGTAGATTCATGTAAAGCGATAGGAATAGATAGACATGAATGTAACGTTTCTACTTATCTGAAAGAGCTACCTACTTACTGCTGTCGTTGTGGTCTGGATTATGGTGGCGATCGATGTACCATGTGATCACGAAGGGCAGGATTATGGTCGTGCAGATTGTAGTCATAAAACAATAAATGTGGTCTTCGAGGATGTAATATTTTAATTTTTTTTATAATACATATGTATGAGTTTTGTATATCTCTAGTCGCGACTACGATTGGGTGACCAACGTTTGAGGACAACTTCCCTCACTTTGTATTTCCCAAGTAATTCATCAACGCCATTCGCCTTAATGTTTCCATCGACAGGTGCGGGTATATCCACGTAAACCAAAATCAAAGTCTTCTTGACCTGTGTAATGACTCGATTGATGCAATGCATCCATGACCAGCTTCTCTCCTGTTTGCCCTTCACATAATTCTGCAAGAATGGACCACTGGACCAGTAAGGATCACTGTATGATGGGAGGATCAGAACAGCGAATTCAGCATGACTAAAAACTGGACCACGATTATAAAGTAGATAATCAACCGAGAATTTTGTTCCACCACGCACGACCCAGCCTAAAGAACGGAAATGATGATAAACAACGTAATTCACGAGGAATGGATCATCCGTTGATAGACTCGGGTTTGAAGTTGGTGGGAAGTAAGACGATTTTCTGAATAATGAAAACAAATCTTGATTTGAAAGTGCGAGTTTGGTGACGGGATCAAGAACAGTCAGTGCTCCTAATCCGTATGAGAGAAAGAACGCCTCTTCCATTGTTAATTGAAAGTGTTCTTGATCTTCAATCACCATATTCTCATCCAGAACCAGTTCAGAGACCGCCTCTGGCTTCTCTTCGGTACTAATCACAGCACGCTCAGGACTTGGTGGTTGCGATGACAAGAAGGTGGTTTGTTCCACGGTCGGAGAAAATCGAACACTCTTCTGGCGGTCTGATACAGATGTAGATGAACCATTCTCAGGTACATCGCCATCAGATGCACTGTTCTGAACAGAAACAGTGGAGGCCGGTGTCAGCGGAGCATCAATTATATTGACGTCAACGCTAGTGGCGATGGGCGTTGAGCTGTCAAGGGGTATAACTTTTTCTTGTGCTGTAATTGAACTGACATCAACCTTAACAGATGGTGAGCGACTAAGGTGTTCTTTTGAGGCATCATCTTCGATGCCAGGATTGGATTCATCAAAGGTTGCGGAAGCATCAGTTGCGGAGTTTGGGAGAGCTAGCAATTCCCGAGGACCCACCGGAGCTGAAGGTACGTTAGACTTATATACTTGTTTTTCCACAATCGTGGTAATCGTTGGTGAGAACAACGAATTCGTATTGTCTTGATGTCTCATAAGATTAAGTTCTACGAGAGAGTTTGGCAGTGCAAGAATGCTCAAGGGTCCGGTAGGTGCGATGAATGACGTGATATTTGAAGACGCAACCTCATCGGCATTCACTGCACTTCGAGACAATGGCTCTTTGGCGGCTTGAGTCTTTACGACATCAATAGATGAGTTGGGTAGGGCAAGAAGCTGCATTGGTCCGGTAGGCGCCTCCGGTAATGTGATGCTAGTCAAAGCAACGTCATCTGTGTTATCTGAGCAATGCGGAAAAGATATTTCGGCAATTGCTACTTTCTGATTTGGCTCAGCAGAAGCGGGGAGATTGTCAACTTCGACTACAATGTTCTCTTCAGATGGAACAACAATGTTGGATTTGGATAATTCCATTGCCTGTGCTTCTGCCAATAAAGTTTGATCAATAGCTTCTCTTTCTTTTCTCGCCCGCTCCCACTTGGTTTGTTGACGATCGGCACGACGTTTTCTTGTGACATCCTCGCTTGCAATCGCCTTTGAAACGCCCCGTCGCTTTTTCTCTCGCGTCAGCCAACTCGGTTCACTGCGACTCAGACTTCCCTTCCCATAGAAACCTTGCTCCCAGAGACCTCTTATAGACCGAGAGTCTGTTATGTGAACGGATCGTGTTTCAGGTGAGAACCATCCTTGATAAAGGGTATCAAAATGTGACGAAGGACGACTGATTGTCTGTGACAACCAAACATAAAGAATATGGAAAAGTGAAAGTGGATTGTGGGGTATGAGAGTAGGAAGAGGAAATGTTCGAATGGGAGCAGGAAGCCCGTAAAGTTTGTTCAATTGCTGGAACTTAGAGGGCGGTCTAGGTCCAACATGTTTTGGTTTTGTGGGAGTTGTGGCCTCAATTGGAGCAACAGCCGGAGTCACTACATTTGTGTCTGCCATGATAGAAAGATGAGGCTATCGTGAGGTCATTGCGATTTCCTATTATGAATCAATGGTTAGTGACCGTTGGGTAAAATCTTTGTGCCAATTGAATCAAGGATATATAAATATTTGCAATGCTCAGATACCGTTGTAGTCTTCTCCGAAGAGAATTGAGCGTACAGAGAGGACGAACAAAGTCAGAGCCGTCACTCTAAGCATCGAATTGAGTCATCACCGCATTGCATGACAGACAAATTGAATTGAGCTGTCTAGATGGTATATTCCAGACCAAAAAAAGAAGAACGAAAGGGATAGATAACTTACAAATTACCAAAACTCTTCTCCTTCTGGTGGGAGAAGATGTTGTGGTCGATGAAATTCTTGAAAAATAATTGTAGTGATGTTGTTGAAGTAATAAAAAATAATTTTTTCAATGCGGAAGAAATTTCGAGTTTTGAAGACTGCACTAAATCTTTTATCGGTAAGTGCCGCTTGATCCAAGCTCCTGCTCTCGAGCTGCTCTACTCTATTCACCCCACGCATATCCGATGCATAAACGCATAATTGAGTATTACGTAATCTTCACGATTCAATCAATATTTGTCGGTACGAGCGCGAAGAAAGCGTGGGAACAGTTTTGTTTTTGGTTTGAGACTCGATTTCTATCGTATGTCTTTCCATATAAACCCATAATACCGACCTGACTAGAGTGGAACCATAAGTACTCATTCTTATTCGTACTGTCATCGATGGAATTGGGCGGAGGAACTCATTCTCTCCCCGAAAGCTCTTGCCGTTGAATACAATTCTGGTAACTGTCCCGCCTCTTGAAATGGAAAAGGAAACTTTGATATACATCATAGCCTTGGCATGTTGGACTTGGTATTTCTTCATTCTACTCGTACAAGCGATAGGCTCTACTCAATTGTAAGATTTCCATCTCATACTGCTGTAGCCTCATCGTATTCTAACATATCTTTTCTCGAAGGTTTCGTTACTACTCTTCCGTTCCCAAGCCTGCCATCTCTCCAAATTTAGACAGCGATGACATTCCCCATATCACGATTTTACGACCAGTGAAAGGACTAGAGCCGCAATTATACGAATGCCTCGCGGCCACATTCAGACAGACATACCCTACAAATAAGTTAACAATATACTTTTGTGTTGGATCATCCAAAGATCCTGCATTCCCAGTTCTTCAACGTCTGCTGGCAGACTTTCCCGAATTTGATGCCAAAGTTTTCATTGAAGAAGAAGATCCCAACCTGAGCGGCCATGGAGGAGAAATTGGCAACCTTGGACCCAATCCCAAGATTCGGAACATGAGTCGCGGATACAGAGAGGCAAAGGGAGATATTGTGTGGATCCTCGATTGTAATGTCTGGGTTGGAACCGGTACTGCTGGACGAATGGTCGACAAGCTGTGTGGATTGAGGGCAGATGGCACAAGGACCACACCATATAAATTTGTCCACTTGTTACCATTGGTTGTAGATACAGTTGGAACCAGCACGGGTGGGGAGACTGAACAACTTCTCACAGCCGGGCAACAAATTACGTCTACAAATTCAATGGCCTCTAATATTACAAATGTTCCGAAGAACGAGTCTAATTTCGATGCAGGCGCAAGAATTGGTGGTGGACGTTTTGAAGAATCCTTTATGGCGTCTTCGCACGCTAAGTTCTACACTGCAATCAATACGGTGTCAGTTGCGCCATGCATTGTTGGCAAGTCAAATATGTTCAGGCGGTCTCATCTAAACTACCTCACCTCATCTTCTCCTGATTATTCTCCAGGAATAGACTTTTTCTCGGAAAATATTTGCGAAGATCATCTAATTGGAGACTTGTTATGGCGAAAGCAGGTACCGGAAGAGGAGGCTGGAGAAAGGTGGCACAAACATGGTTTGGTTCCTGGTGACTTGGCTATACAACCAATGGCTGGTATGTCAGTTCGAGAATACATCGCACGCCGAGTACGTTGGCTCAGAGTTCGAAAATGGACCGTTACACTGGCCACATTTGTTGAGCCTGGTGTTGAACCCCTTTTATGCTCAGCCTATGGCTCTTTCGCAATCACAACACTACCTTGGTTTCATGAAAACTTAAGTGTACCTCAGACATGGCTTGCTTTTGCCTTGGTTTGGTTATCAAATGTTGCCGCGTGGATGACCCTTGATTGGTTCGTCTATGCTCACCTTCATTCTGGTGCATCTATTGAGCTGGATGCAAATACGCCTTCCTTTGCACGACCTCCACAGACGAGATGCAGAAGACCCTTTAAAGAATGGGCATCTGCATGGCTCGGCAGAGAAATCCTTGCCTTACCTATTTGGACATGGGCATGTCTTGGTGGAACGACAGTAATGTGGAGAGGAAAAAAGTTCCGCGTCAATCTTGACATGAAAGTCATCGAGATCAAAGGCGAGAAGAAATCATCCACCCCTGAAATCGAAAATGGACGAGCGCACAGTAAAGATAGACAAGATTGATTGTCCTTGTATAACAGTCAAATACTACCCAATAATATATCATAATTACGATGTTGTACAGCATTTATATCTTGGCTTCGCCTACAACTCGTAAATCACCAATCATGTCCAGTGACATCTCTATACATATGTCGGTACAAGTGCGAATCCGGGGCCCCTCAATTTACAGAATAGGACCGATCGGAGACAGTGACAATATCCCATAAAAATAATCCCTCGAATCATCGCGAGATTGTAACCTATTTTTCTGTAGGTAGGGCTTCGCGAGCCATCGCCAGCCTTATCATATATGCTACATTGTTCATTCTTCATAGTTCTTTCATTGGGTTTGTGTGGATACTACTATGTTGCTTTCCAAAACCCTGCATATGCTTTCTCTACAGTCTTGCCAGTCATCCAATCTCCCACTCTTTTGTTCCTCTTTATTGCTTGCACTAAACAACAGTATAGCACATTGGTGCATCGTTTCCCTTTCTCCTTGCACCATCGCTTTATCGTGACATATCCAGGTGCGCGACACAGCGGAAACCCCCTCTCGTCCCAGAATTCAGTGAAGCGTCAAGCAGCACCACATATCCCCATTCCTAACCAGGTTTAGCTCTTGGCCCCCGTAAGATATCGTCATGTATCTCGCCTACGACTTACATCTACGATATATTTCCGAGCCTGCCAGATTTAGCAGTCGCTAAAATAAAAGCAGAAAAGAGTCTGAAATCAGAACTAAGGTAAATGTTGTACCGCGATGCTAATCTGCATATTGTTTTCGATCAACTGAAAGCTGTAGCTGCTGTACATGCATACCCTGCGTCTGCAAGGTGGTATTACGACTTTGAGTGCGATGAGGCTTTTATAATTGGATGAAGATTCGTGGGAAGAAGATGGGAGTGGAGAGTTTCAAGTCGGTGAGGGGATTGGAAATTGGGATTAGAAAGCGAAGTATACTGGTAGGGAGAATCTGGTAATGCAATCAGAGAGTGAAAAGATATTTTGGGAAGATATCGAAGTGGAAGGAGGAAATAAAAGAAGTAAAAAAGCAAGTTCAGGAACGTTGAAGTGATTTTGAAGGAAGTACTCTAGGTCTTTTTACCAGAGAGAGGATGGGGCTTAACGGTGTGTGGAACTTCTCACTTCCCTATCTTCCCTTCGCCGGTATGAACATAACTGATTGTATAGCTGCAGACGAGAGGAGTTACGAATGCAACTACAACGTCCCAAGCCGCGAACTCCCTCGTTTCGTACCGCCGATCAGAGTCAGATTTGTCGAGAGCGAGATCGATGCTGCTCTTGTGCAGTCGGTGTTTGATATAGAGATTGAGGAAGACTCGGGGGCATATACTTTAGTGGGAATTTGTGAGGATATGGATATGGATATGACGGAAGTGGAAGAGGTGGAAGAGAGAAAGGGAATTGGGGAGAGTGTTAAGGTGTGTTTATGTCTTTGCTCTACTAGCGGGCTTGAGGATGGAACTTATGAGAATTTAGGCTCGAGGTGCGGATGTGAGGGAGATGGAGGAATTGAAGGGGATGAAGGGGTGAAGGATGGAGGTATGTGCTGTCACAATTTGTATGAATTATAAGGGAACTGAGCAGACCATAGTAAACAAGGAGTCAAACGCTCGCAAAGAGTGTGAAGGGAAGCATGATACGAGAAGACGTTGATTTTTCTGAAGGAATATGGGCATCAGTACGGCTTATGAATTTGTAAGTTTAGGTGCTGTCTATTTTCTAGTACATACATCATCAATTTTCAATCAACTCCCGCTATCAATGTTCTAATTGTATCAAGGCTTTCGTTACTATATACTATATACTATATACATCTCCGTTTCGCGAGCTATCGAATTGCAAGTGTAGGAATCTATATCCTTTCGTGTTTCCCACACATAAAGCAGAAAAACATACAGATACAACGAATGGTACGTAGGAGTGAAGTATTGGTATTAAATTCCTAGCTTCAAATTTTGTATTGGCTGTGGTACACACGGATGTTGGAAGCTCTCCATCAACATGACATTGAATCCACTTTATTTAGACGGGATTTGGAGCAACTGCGATAATTGATGTCAAAATGAGTGTCTGGCATGTGCAAGGTATATCAAGCTACGAATGGATACACGAAAGGTATTTCATGGAATCTATCCAAGTCGTGACGGACGTGTAAATGAAAGTCTGATCTTGGTCTCCTTCGGGCCATCATTCCCCTTTTTTATGGCGAACAGTCATCGCGTAACTCGACACATTTTTTTTCACGCTTCCGTTTCTAAATGAGTGCTATCCGGTCAGTCTTAACGGCGATATGATACTAGATATATTGAGAATATACTAAATTGGTTTCATATAGATTCCAAAGATCAAAACTATATATCTTTGATTACCTACATAACAGTCAAATGATATCAATTTAACAATTACATCCCAGCTGTCAAACTATATTCCAAATCCCAAATAAGGAAGTAGAAAATCCATCATCGAGAATTCATCCCCTCGTACATACTGTATAATCTCAAATTTGCGGATTCCACCAGCCCTACTGCTAGTCAATCACTTTGCTTCACTAGGTAGCTAGCTAGGTAGAATGTTCAGTTACTCTTCATACAGAGTCGGTGCAACAAGCTTTCCAAGAGTTAGTAGGTTAACCTTTTATCAGATCTTCATTATTATTGTGACAGAAGAAGTAGTTAGTCTAAATAGGTGCATAATGTATCGTAAGATCGGGTTTTAAGCACTTAGGGATATGGTTAGTATAATATAATGGTAGCTAGCCAAATGCATTGTGATTAAATTATTTTTCTGTGACTAGATATCATTCAAGAAATATTAAACTAGCATTATTTCAAACAATCTCAAACTGTATCTTAATTTCAGCCATCAAACAAGTAAATTCCAAGCGAGTTCTCCTCTTCTGTCATGGTAAATCTAGTTTCTTGTCCGCACTGGACATAATTTACTCAGCACAGCACATGTATCCCCCAGAAAGACAACCTTGGTCTCTCCTTCTCTCTTCATCCTCCTTCTCTCTTCATCCTCCTTCTCTCTTCATCCTCCTTCTCTCTTCATCCTCCTTCTCTCTTCTCCCTCTCCCCAAGAAAATCCATAATACACACTCCATAATACACACTCCATAATACACACTCCATAATACACACTCCATAATGCACACTCCATAATACACACTCCATAATACACACTCCATAATACACACTCCATAATACACACTCCATAATACACACTCCATAATACACACTCCACACTCCACACTCCACACTCTCAAATCACAGCACCCAAATATCCAGAACTCCCATTTATATAATATATCATATTCTTTTCAGATACATTACTTACTATTCCAAAAATGCAATGGAATAAGTATAACAGTATCATGTAGTCGAGTATATCATTCTCTTTCGCAGAATCTCGAGACTCTTTTATATCAAGATTTGAATGGCTTGTGAGTATATAGAGACTTTGTATAGGGGCAAAGTAATGATGATTATTGTTTTACCTAGGTAGTATATGTGAAGAAGTTCTCCCACAAGTTCGGATGTAGATAATTGTGTACGATAATATCTCTTGAATGAATTAGAAAATAAGTATTACTTATCAACTCCACGCTATCTATGAAAACACTTCAATTTTTAGGATATTATGAAACATTTCAAGTGCCGAAGGATTTAATTGGATAGATCTTTCATTCATGAGTACCCAAACGCCAGCCATGTCATATTAAGACACTTCCCTCCTAAACTCCCCAGCATAATATAATGCTCCATCGACTTTTCCTCCCATATTTTTTCATAATATCGTAGTCCTCCATCTTCTCCATCTACCACTTCTTAGCCTCAACGCCCTCGGGAGGTTGAATCTTGACAGGAGCTTTCTTAACATCCGACCAATTGGTACTCAGAGCAGTGCCATTACTTTCTTGGAAACTCTTCATCATAGCTCTCTTAGTATCTGGATCCGCATCTTTATAAAGCTTTTTGAAGAAAGAATCCATGGGATCACCACCTTCCCCATCACTATCTCCGCCTGTATCCTTTGCTCCTTCTTTCTTTTCAGATTTAAGAGCAGATGAGGCGAGGGCATCCCAATCCTTTGGACCATTGCGAGAGGACGTTGGGTAAGAGGGGGCCTTTTCGGTGGAGGGATTTAAGACCGCAGCAGGGATTTCAGACTTCTTTTCTTCCGTGGATGCAGTGATGATAGGCTCACTTCCTTCTAGTTTAGACCACTTAAGTCCTTGCTTTGTCTTGTACAATTCAATCTCGATTTTGAAAGGAGTGATGTTGAACTTGCTCTGCGAGGGATCGATTTGAGCGAAAAGTGGCGAAGCAGTGAAATCGTATGTGTTGCCAGTTTGTCCGACTGGGAATGAAACTTCAACCTATGACATGTTAGTTGCTGTAAACTTGGAGGCTCGCAGATAATCTCATACCTGTCCTTCTTCGATATTAATTTGTGCAGTATCTTTTGCGACACCCTTAGCATAAATAGTGATTGTGACCTTCGAGTTGGATTGAATCCACCTGCAGAATCAATTAGTTCCTCATTTTATAACTTCGAAAGCAGATGTCCGTACTCTTGTCTAATATTTTCCTTTGCAGTTACTGCAGGAGCGGATGCCGGAGCATTCGAGGCACCCTCCACACCTTTGCCCTTAGGATCTTTTACTTGCGGCTTGACAGCAGCCTGCTTATTGGGAACTTCCTTCACAGTGCACTTGTTACATTCCGCGTCCTCACCACCCGCGTTATCGTAATCCATCTTGACCTTTGCCTGCCACATAGTCAAAGCCTTTTCTTTTGGATTTTTTTGCATGCACCAAGCCAGACATAATCTTGCATCTCCATATCTGCCTAGACCATGAAGAGCAACTGCGCGACGAAAGTGAGCGGTACCGATGAGTTCGCGACGAGAACGAGCGATAGCTGCATGGACGGCGGCATCGGCATCTGCGAGTGCCGCTTCGTAATTCTTAGCACGTTGTTGGGCAATAGATCTGGAAATGAGGTAGTTTGGAGAAGTAGGACTTTCGGCGATGGCTTTGGTTAAGTATTCGATGGCCGCGGGGTAATCTTTCTTGTCGATGGCGGCAGCGCCGAGAGCTGCTTGGGTTGACATGATGTGTTTGTGTATTTGATAATATTTGACTTTATGAGTTTATTTTGATTTGTCGTGGAATTATTTAATCTGGATGTTCGAGAATGATGAGAAAACTTTTGGAAAAGAAACGGGGGAGATGAATTCATTTATAGATTTGATCTGTTGGTAATTGATTGAACTGGAAAGTTCGATAGTTCAATCTTCAGCCTCGTCGGTAGCCTGTAGTGCGGCGCTATGTGGAGCATACAAGCCACCCAACTGGACCAATTGAAGAATGGTAAATATTCACATTGGCGGGGTATGATCTATTAGTACCGAAGCTAGATCGGAGCTTGGTCGTCTAGCGTTATCTAGGTAGGTATTATTACATATGACTAGTTTCTGTCGACCTATATGTGAGTATTCACTAAAAGATATATCACCTACCTCGTCATGATGTGAGTAGGTAGGTCCACGGGTATTTAGGTGTTATTACATTAGGTTAAGTCAATAGCTATTATCTAGTCATTATGCCACTCCAAAACCTGAATTAGATAGTCTCCCCCACCCCATCTGTCATTACAAAAGTTTAACATCTCCATATTTCTTGGCGAATAATCCCAATGCTTTCATTGGAAAGATGAATTTGTAATTAGGATATGAGATCATGCAACTCTTATTGAAAACACCCTCAATGGCCTCTTGGAGCCATTCTCCATTAGCTTGTTGCCGGCTCATGATAAGCTTCAATCCCCTTTCAATTGGTGCACGATCTGGGTAGTTGGCCTCAATCAAAGCGATACATGCCCAAGCTGTCTGTACAACTTGAGAACCAGATGGATGCTCAATATATTCTGCTTGCTCACAGGACTGAAGAGATGTTAGAACTATTTGTAATCATAAGGGAGAGGCTACATACCTTATAGCTTTCCGACCATCCACCATCACTTCTTTGCTTGGAAATGAAAAAGTCACATCCTTTTCTGACATGCTCGCTATTCTCGTAGGTTTCTCCAATACTTGCAAGACTTTCCAGAGCAAACATTCCAGCATACGTGAAACAAATACCCCAACTGCCATACCAGCTACCATTGGCATATTGGGCTCTTCGAATATAGTCAATAGCTCTACCCTTGAAAGCTGTGATTTCGGATGCGCGATAATCCGGATAGTATCTTGAGAACAATGATAATGCTGTGACTACAGCGGTTGTGCACTCGGGGTAATCGTATTCGATCATGATTCTACCAAATACCTCAGCTGCATTTAACATTTCCAAGGCTTCTGAACCTCGAGTTGGCTCATAAGATGCACAGCCACCGGATTTATTCTGGTATGTGAGAAGAGTATCAATGGCATCAAAAATTCGTTGGTCTTCCAGCAAAGTTGGATAACCAGGCGTTCGTTGTAGAAGTAAAACGGCTTTCAAAGCTTCGGAGATGCAGTCACTGACAGCATATCCTTGATCTTTGTTACTGAAGCCCCATGCTCCTTTTCGTTGTTGACGATAGCAAATATCTTGATCGTCGACATTCTCTCGAATTTGTTGATCTTCAAGGAACTCGAGCGCTTTAGTCAACATAGGTCTCCATCTTGGATCTTCAGCCAAACCAGCATCCATCACGGCTTGAATTAAAAATGCTGTATCCCAGCATTGTACTCCATTTGTTCCATTCATCAGCATACCTTCGTCCTTGACCCACATAAAGTCAGCCATTCGTTCTCGATGTCGTTGTACCGAATACGCATTAGGACCCTCTCGAATATAGCACGCAAGGAAGTTCATGGGTCCATTAACAGGCCCGAGATTGGAAAAATCGGTATTCTTATCTTCCATTTGAATCAGTTTGAATACCCAATCTTCGGCTTGCTTTGCCAAAGCATCAGTCCGGAGATATGGGTTGTAGATATTGACGAGAAACCAATTTGCTGTGTTTAGGAGCCATGATTTGGGATGATAATTGTCTCCCGGATGAATGCTGTTTCGGTTTCCTGCCCAATTGATAGCTGTATATGGTTCGACAAAAAGCTCTTGTCGTAACTGCTCAACAATGGGTGTTGTTTTGTATGCGAACTTCTTCGACCAGATGAATGACATGGGTGCATAAACTTGGCGCATGTGAATCCACCATCTCCAAGGATGGAAAGGTACCCAGTTAGGTAACAACCAAAACTCTGGCGGTACAGGATTGACAATATCCCATTGACAAACACCGAGTACGCTCAGCCAAAACTTTGCCCAATGCGGTCCATTCTTAGCACCACCAAGCTTGTGTAATGTTCCTCTAGCCTTAACCATTCGTTCGTCCTCTTCGCTGACTCCGACTAAACGGAGAACAGTATAGTTCATGGCAGTCCCGAAAACGCTACTCTCTGCCTCAATGTGTAGCCCCCATCCCCCATCATCTGGATGTGCTCGCGCAAATAGATAATTTTTTATTTCTGTCGCAATATGATCCGGGATTGGAGTTTCGGTGACAGTCCAAGTGATGACCAAGCCGGGAAGCAGAAACATTGGTCCACCATATTCACATGCCCAATTGCCTGGGGGAAGCTGGAGTTGTTGAAAGAATTCGAGGCAATTGTTGACGGAATCAAGAGGACTCTGAGCTTTTGGTTGATCCGGTAAACCCTGTCCATACCATTAGCAATAATGTTATAGCAAGGTACAATTTTCATACTGTTGGCAATCCTAAGAAATACTTGTCTGCAATTGTTTGAGGCCATTCCGCAGCATCTTCGTCATTTTCAAGGTAATGCCATGTCTGCCTACCTCTTTCGTCGAGTAAACGCCATCGCGAGTAATCTGTACGTTCCTGTAACTTTGGCCGTTTTGTAGTCTGCGTAGTATTCGAAGATTCAAATGATCTTTTTTCGCCCGTCTTTGCCTTGGTCTCGGTGTCACCCATAGGATTGAGTTTCGTTCTCGCCATTGTAAGAAAGGTTTAATTGGAACGCCGATATGATACGATTGTCAAAACATAAACTGTACAATTCTAATAAAGTTACGAGCTTTGGTGGACCCCTAGATATTTCAGGGGCCACTAAGGCGGTCAAGAATGGCAACTAACCTAAAGGTCACCCCATTTTAGCGCATTCCACATTTTCTCGTCTCCCGTCTTCCCCGCGGATCTTCAAATGTTCCAATTTTAGACATCAGACGACAAACATTCAAATATTCGAACATTTGAAAAATAATGTGAAAAATCTTCTCCAAACATCAACGGTTGATAAGGATGCACTTCTAGCTGATAGATGCGGAACTACATTTAAGAATGCTATGGACTTTGATCGTTTACAGCATATTCTGAAGGATACGCCGTCTTCATCATCTCAATTGCTACATGATTTACCTTCCAACAAACTAATCAGTGAATTAGATTCTACAGATCACAGTGATGAACAGAAATCAGCGTCATCTCAACACGGAAAACACAGTAACGATACCAATCCGTTGACACCACCATTATCAACGCCCGAGAAGATTGAAGGTCTGAATCCAAGGAACACTTCTACACCATCTTACCAAACAGGATCTGCCATATGCAAAATCGAAGAAATTTGCGAGGCCATGACCGATTGTATTATCGGAAGAAGGAAACAATTTTCCATCCATTTAAAATCTCGAAGTCTGGGCACAAAAAATGTAATTCCAGGGAGCAAAGAGGTTTTTGGTTCAAGGGTTGTGCAGTTTCCCAGTTCCTCGCCTCGAGAGGCGTGGAAATTTGGTATATCTGATGTCTCTGTTTGACAACCCTTACTAATATCAATATAGTTGCGTTGCTACGGATTCTGGAGCTCTCTCATGAGGCGCTTGTCACTGGAAATATCATCAGCAAGAGGTACACTATCATCACTTGGCACTGATGTCCGTTTCAGACTGACAATGCATCATTAGGGACATGTATTATCGAGACCCGGAGCTTTTTACGAAACAAGCAATTGTCGATCGTTTCTTAGATGACATCGCGTGTACTCTTGGACTGAAGCGCGACGCTCTGAATGTGGTCAGTGAACCCCTCACCGCAACAGCGTCAATTCTTGGCTAACTCGCACTTCGCAGATGGCCGCTGCCAAAGGATTAGTTACAGGCTGGTTTATTATGAGGAGAAAGAATCAGTCCATAATGGATTATTCATCAGCAGCAGATGTTTGCTCCTAAGGACTCTCTTTGTGTCATACCTTCTCACTAGTTTTGTAGTCACAACTAGTACCATGGGTAAACGAAATAGAAGAGATGGACCTCTCGCAGGTTAAATGGATACTGGTAATTGAGAAAGAGGTTGGCACACTTTAATGCGAGCTTACAATATCACTGACTGCAAATAGGCGACCTTTCGCACATTAGCAGAAAAGCGATATTGGGAATATTGCAATGCGGGGAGAGGGATATTACTTACAGTATGTATTTCGGAGTACTTCTTCTGTAATATTGCACAGGGCCTAATCATAACAGGCAAAAGGTTATCCTGATATACAAAGTCGACAGTTTCTCCACTATTTGGCGAAGCATTATCCAATAATACCGATATATGCTTTGGTGGACTTTGATCCTGACGGTCTAGGCATTATGTCCACATACAAACATGGCTCTGTCGCACTCGCACATGAAAACGAAAATCTATCCGTCCCCTCGATGCGTTGGCTAGGACTTAAAAGTAAGGACATGATGCAAGGAGGAAAAGAGAACGAGGGCTTACTGAAGTTATCGGAACGCGACAGACGACTCGCAGTGAAAATGCTGCAAAGAGATGTTTGTCAACCGGGCGGAGATGAAGACGAATGGAGAAGAGAGATTCAAGTCATGTTGATGCTAAATAAGAAGGCGGAAATCCAAATTATTGGAAACGGCAATGCATTAGAGAATTGGCTGAATGAAAGTTTGGGAAAAGAAAAAATAAATTGAAAGTATTACGAGAAAAATTTCTTTAATGGATCAACAAATTTATGAAACATTGGAAAAGTCTTTTTTGGGTGAGATCACAAACAAGTCGCGAAATACCTATTACACAGATTAAAAACGTCCAAATTTTACCTTTCTATCTACCCAGCACACGACGTCATCACCTATCAAAATTGGGCAGTTTCAAAAATCAAACTGCATGGCTCAAAAAGTCCAAAAAGATGATTAAATCAACCACGCGCTATATTTCTCTACTCCACGTGAGCTGTGGCTTACCACACGATCTTGATGGTCACCGGGCCAGGGCTCCAGATCAAGGTACTACAGGGACTAGGACTTGCCAACACGGCTATACAGCCGATTTTATGTGTTGACGAGAAAAGTAATGTGGTTCGGGTATTTGTATGGAGGAAGGCGGTGGCGGGGTGAATATGTGTGGTATGGGTTTGGGAATGGGTGGTAAGTGATCATGGGACGAGATGAGATGAGCTGAGATGGTGTGGTTTGTTTGGGGATGTACTTGGGGTGAAGACTGGTGATACGTATGTTCAAATGGTATGATGATTGATATTTCTGCTGCTTTGTATGTTTTTGTTCGTGGAATTAGCTGTACTTTCTAGATGCAGTGGTTTTCGCGTTTGAATTTGTAATATATGCCGCTCGTGAACGCTAGCGGGATGAAATGATGTTAAGGTGACGATTGGGAAACATGTTCGTTCATATGATATTGCAATTAGCTATTCATGTTTTAGTCTTCTGATTTCCAGTGGAAAATAGCAACACCGATGGAGTGATCTTGGGTATCATATATTTTGGAGGTGTTAGAAAATCACTCTCTCATATATTTTGCGCTCAGCTCTCAAGTTACTTATTTGTTTGTGTAGCTCTTTGTTAGTGGTTTTTCAATGATTTGGTTCTAAGATCTTTTGAATGGAATGACTTAATAGAAGCCTCCATGGAGGCATTCCTACCAATTTTAATAAATCTTTAGCATTCCATTCTATTGTCGTCTAATCTATGTTTGGGCATACTTATATAATCATGAGCTGTATGTCTTGTGAAGAACACAAAATCTATCATTTTGGATTTCGATAAAGCTAGATGATTGTGAGGAATCTTTGGAAATAGAATGAATTGCATGATGCATGTTCTGGTTAGAAGAGTATCTTCACATTGGTATGAGGAAAGAGTATTGCCCTGTCAAGTGTCTGGAGGGATCAAACTGACCTTCTTCCATCACTTGATATCTTTACCTGCAATGAATCATCAAGTTTTCCACACATCACTGTATTGTTTCTTGATCCTGCAGCATGTTTGCTTGGGGTAGAAAGTATTATGTTATTGTATTTCCCCAACTCCTGAGCCCTTTGGGATTTTGAATGCTATATGGGATTATCTTCAGATATGACCTCATGGTGACTGAATGAATATGCTCATGCTGGACTGACTATAAACTGTTGCGAACTCTTTGTGTTCTTGTTAATATTTTTTTTCCCTCAAATGTGTTAATCTAATTCTTTGCCCATGAGGATTTGAAGAAGAACAAGATATTCACTCTCTACACTGGAACCAAGGACTACTCACTCTGAGCTTTTAAACTTACATCTATATATTAACAACAAAGATCCGACTTCTTCTATTCAGTCGAACTCTGAAATCCTGAGTCATTGAAATGATTTTCTACATCCACACCTGAACGTCGAAGATCTCACTAAGGTGAAGTCTGCTCCTACTGATCAATTCTCGAGGTCGAAATTATCCTCATCTCTTTGCGAACGCAGATCTCAGGGTAGCAGACTTGGGTGTTGTCGGTGGTTTTTTATCCTTATAGTTTTTGAAGGATCATACTTTACTGCTCGAAGGAGAGTCGGTGGAGACTTATGGACGGCTAGTTGAGTGGACAGACAAAAAGATGAAGGAAAGGATCTTGGCAGGGTTTCAATATTTGCCACATGAGGGGTTTACTGATTTTTGAAATACAGTACAATCTTTATTTGTTCCTTGTGAATTGGTGTCAGGCGCTTCTCCAGGACATTGAAATTGCCACAATATGGATGCTTCCTGTTGAACCAGAGCCACCGCTACTGGTAAAAACTTCCGATGATACAACGATAGCTTCAATAGTCATGGAGACGCCATATCGATTGCCCTCCGAGCTGGATTTCAATCGTCTGCGAGCTGTAGTCACTGCCAAGCGACTTAGTGCGGAAGATTATATCCACGATTTGAGGGAGGGTCCCGGTATCTTCGCTGATGCTATGATGGAAGCAAGTGACCATAGACTAGAGAGAGTACTAAATGATGAGGGTAGAGCTGGTTTATTTGTAGGCACGCCAGAATTCTGGGAAGGTGTCACTCGGCGTGTGGTGGTGGATGCATATTTTGACTTAATGAGCTGGGATATAATAGCAAACAACTCGAGCGTCTAGCTATGCTTCAAAGCAAATGTGTCGCTTTCATTCATCCGGGAAATTGTCTACCAGAGAAGTTTTCAAAGGAGTTGTTGAGCTTCAAAAGCGTGCTCGAATTCATACAAGCAAGATCTAAGAATAACTTGACTCAGGGACTTCCAGCTTCCCTAATTTTTCGCGACGAGTTCCATCGAGGATCGGAAATTTCTGGTTGCGAAGAAGCTACTCAACGAGTTGACAGAGGATTTTCTAAGAGTGAAGATCTTATGATTAAGCTTTTCGAGACAATATTTTCTCGAGAAAAAAAGACGTCCCTAAGTTTACCTGCAATCATGGACGAGATCGAGCAAATGATTGAACAGTATCTCGAATTAAAGGCAAAAATCACACCGTGGGTATCCCTAGTACTTTCTGATTTGGGACTAATTATTCGACTTGGACATTAGCTAGATCTTTATCTACCATGGGCAACAGGTTTTCCAATAGACATGGGAACACACAAAGACTGGCTCAAAAATGACTTGCGAGACAATTGTTCAGAATTACAAAGGACTCAACATTATTTAACATTTGCTTTTGAGTCATTGAAAGCGCTAGGAGACCCTACTGATGGAAGGTACCTCTATCCATGTGACCAGCGGCGAATCAAGAAGGTTACGGAGGCAATGCAAAGTGCTGAGGGAAGACTAGACTATTCTGGACTAAGCTAGATTTTGAATATCGCCGAGTCTCCCGCAGGACTTTGAATAAGAGTGTTGGCCATATATTTACCAATGTTCGGACTGTAGAGAGGACACCTGATTGGATTGCGCCAAGCAGACCAGTAAGAGTCTTTCCTAAAAGCTTCCAAGCTCCTACCATACCGCAGTTCTCTACTAATGAGCTAATATCCAGCTTTGTTGCTCCTCGAGAGAAAATCAAGCCAAAAACCCGCGGAGAACCTACTTCTTCTGTGAGCATTGTTGAAGATACCTCAGAGGTATTACCGTCCAAGCCCAAAGAACAAATCTACAAGCTCAAAGCGAGAGCTCTGAAAGTGTTCAAAGTTCTCTTTTTCCAACCGTCTGAGAGTAAGATTCCAGGGGATCTACCTTGGACCGAGTTCAATTACGCTATGGTAGCAATGGGCTTTAGCGTACACAAACTTGATGGCTCGGCATGTCAATTCACTCCGCCTTCGACTGAAGAATATGAAGGAAGACATGGCATACAGGTCCATGAGCCGCATTCTCCGGGTAGTACGGCTAAGATCCCTTTTCATCTTGCAAGGAGCATGGAGCATGGGAAGGAGATTGAGCTACACGTATGGATGGCATGGTGGGATGTTTGTGAGTGACTAAGCAAGAAATGGATGGGTAACGCAGACTACGACAATCAATCTTGTATGGATGAAACCTTGAATACCTATATAAGGAAGGAAGCAAAGGAATAATTGGATATGAAAAGTGTTGCGGAAATCTATGGATAAAAATATGGGATGGTTCGGATTGGTTACAATTAAGTGCAAGTTTCCGAGATTTAGTGTAGAAAAGAAGTAATTATTAGATATGTTATGTTTGTTGCTATGGACTTCCTAGCTATTCTCATGCTATTTCGTGAAAATTGGTGACTGGCGAAATACCGTATCCAGATGAATCTGAGCAGTGAGGAGCCACGTAATGTTTTTAAAGAGTACCAGATCATACAAAAAATTGAAAAAGCCAGAGGCATCGAATACTACCAACGATTCACATCGTCAGGAAATATTTGCTAGCAATAATGACTAGAATGTGGTCGCTGCAGTCAAAAACGACCTCCGGTCAAATATTCGAAGTGACTTTTCACTTCCCGAAATCATTCTCTGTTTGCTGTGACTAGAGCAACGTGTATATTTCCAGTAGTATATTATTTCTGAGATAGAATATCTATGAATACATAAGTGGAACGAAATAGTTGTTCTCATCATTTCTAGTGGGTCAGAGAGGAAATCTTATAATCTGGCCTATGGATCCATGCGTTTACAATATGCTTATTAAGTCGGGTACCCTACTTTCGGGCCACCCCTGTTTTGGGCCACTTTTCAACCACTTTTTATACCAAAAATGAAATTTTTAACTTTCTTATTTATGGATAGAATTTATTGAAAATTTATATATATATAATTTAAATCGATCTAAATTTATTCTGAAATTTTCAGATTTTTAGGATTTTTCTGTATTGAGATCTAAAGCTTCAAAATATTGATTTTTTAATTTGTATAAAAATCACATACAAATTTAGAAATTCTATAAAATCTTTAATAACTTTTTAATAAAAATTGCTAAAAATAAATTGTAAAATTTTATTATAAATTTATGATATATTCAATCTAATAGATTCAGAAAAAATAGAAAATCTATTATAAATAAATACTTATAGGGATACTCTCAAAATGACAGGGATTATTTATATTACTCTAAACTCACTGTATACTATATTTTTATATCTGTTAATTTTTTTGAATTTTTTTTTGAATTTCTATATAGATTCAAGTTTAAATATCTCAAAAATATCTATGGTTTTCTTTTAATAATTGTTATTAAAAAGTTATTAAAGATTTTATAAAATTTCTAAATTTATATGTAATTCCTATACAAATTAAAAAATCGATATTTTGAAGCTCTAGATCTCGATATAGAAAAATCCTAAAAATCTGAAAATTTCAGAATAGGCTTAAATCGATCTAAATTATATATATATAAATTTTCATTAAATTATATTATATATTGATAGAGATATTAATAGGCCTAAAAAGTGATTTTTGGTGTGAAAGGGTGGCCCAAAACAGGGGTGGCCCGAAAGTAGGGTACCCGACTTAGTTGGCATAATTTCAAGCTTCGCTAAATGAAAATATGATCCACTATTTTTCGAGCTAACTCCATCTCGGTTAATTCTATTCGTCCCGACTGAACCGTTACCATGAGCCAAAGCTCAACAACCATACTCATTCAAAAATTAGTCAATCCAAAAAGAAGCAAATTGAATAAGACAATAAGAAGAGGAAAAAGAAGTTGGTCAAAATGGCAAAAGAAGAACCTGGCGAGGGAACCCTGAAGCCACACTGGGCTTGCTGTACTGTAACTACGTCACTCAGTCGAGTAGATATTAGTAGCGGCCGCTATTATTAAACTACAAGAGTATTCATGACTTATCGAAAGTATGACAATTTTCTTGGTCTATGTAGTTTAGAAGATTCGGTCCCTCGTTTGTATATGTATGGGGGAGTGGTTACCTGCTGTACACTGTAGATTTCACTCTGTATTTGTTATCGAAAAGGAGAGGGAAACGATGATGGAAAATGATTTGATCTGGAAGAATACTCTTATTGAATGATGCGCTGGGGTTTTAGAACTATATCAAGACATGTATGATTAATGATGAAAGATGCAGTTTGGCTTTCGTTGCTTCGGCTTCACTAAGAAGTAATTATCTTGTGTCTCGAGTTCCGACTACATGTATCAAATGTTATGTCAAGGCAAAGCGAGATTACCAGTCAAACCATGGCCTTTGAACATGACTTTTGGTTGGACAGACGAAGGTGATGGAGTCTCGCTCTAGAATTAAGTAACACACACGTGAAAGTCGTGTGATGTCCGTGCCGCTCGCTTATCTCTCAGTACCATGATATAAATACCTCTACCCCACCAGATGATTTCATCTCCCTTCATCGTTCCATCATGCCAATAGTTAGCAAGACGTACAGTCGAAGAAGGGGTGGTTGTCACCAACGCGCTTGTAATGAGTCACGGATTGGCGCAAGAGGGTTGACAAATATCTCATTTTACCGACCCGGATTTGGACGTGGATTCAGGCATCCCTCCGTGCCCGAAGTTACTTGTAACAGTTTTCCATTTAGCAAATGCTATCAATGCCGTTCTATGCAAGATCTACGTCTTCAGCAGTCCATCACCGAATCTGCGGATACAGAACTGTCATCAACAGTCCCCAAATTTCATCAATTTCCACTCTTACCAGTGGAAATTCAGTCAGAAATCTGGTCTTTCGCAGCTCTACACCCTCGTACCATTCCTATTTTGACTCACTGGATACCTCCCGAGAATCTAGATACATCAATTTCGCCACATAGAGGAAACGCGGGGAGCATTAACATTACCCCCCTCTCTCGAATCCCCCCTCTTTTGCACACATGTTCTAGCTCACGAGCAATAGCGCTTCTCAAATACCGCATTATGAGTAACGAGCCTCGTTATCTAGGTGAGGATCTGTTTGATGATGAAGATCTTGATGAAAATGGTCTTCTCATTGATGGCAATTATGAGATTACTCGAGGATTTTACATCAATCCCTCAGTTGACATATTGTACTTCACTTCACATGTAGAAGATCAATATTTCAAACATAACACTAACTGGAATGGAAACGAGCCCAAAGATTTGAAAGCAGGTATATTCGCGGAAACTCTCCATTTTCCAGTCAATGATGTGTTAGATTTGTTAACGGGGTCTGAGATTGATAAAGAAATCAGATACTTGGCTTTTGATCTCGATCTCCCCGGAGTGGGACACAGGATCTTAGGATATGATGGTTTAGCGTTAAGTCCTATTGGAAATTGGACGGGTCTGGAGAGAGTGATATTCTGTTTGGGGGGTATTGATGGTGTTAACAACGCGGCCGAAAAAGATGAATTTCCAAAAGACTCAAAAGGAAAAGGGAAAGAAACATTCCCCATTGACAAAAGACACGAATATAGTTCCTCAGTCATAGATTTCGAGAAAGAGACAAAACTTTACGGGATTCGTGAATCCTTCACCGGCCCGTCGGCAGGGAAAGGCAACGCCTTGTTCAAAAAATGCATGTCTAAATACTCGCAGTTTTCTGGAGATTTGGTTTCTCAATCAGAAGATTGGTTCGAATGTCTCAAACCGACCGGGAGTTTAGGTGTAGACGGACGGCCTGCTGTTAGTTATACGGGTACATTAGGGTTGGGGTCTCTCGAGCAAAGCGGTGACATGGAGGGGGGAGAAAGGCTGGATATACTACCAGTCATAGGTTTTGGGGTAGTGAGTAATTACATCAGTGGTGAAGAAAGAGACCGTTGTGGATTGGAAGAGAATCCATTTGAGAAAATGTGTTATGATGGGTATGTATCATTTGAGAAAGATGAGGCCAACGAGAACAGTGTCTTTGGGTGTTCGGTGGTCATGGGTGAAGACTGATGTTACTGGGCGGGAAGTGGCCAGGAGAGCATAAATTATGTTACATTTCATCAGTATCAAACTCTTTGATTACCTCTGTTCGTTATTCTGAAAAGGGAATTTCCCTTGCCGCGTATCTTCGTACTCTACAACGCACAATCGGTGGGTGACTCTCGCATCAATTTCTACAAGCTCCATACTCATTTTCTCTCTCTTCAATCAAAAGCCATTCAAATGCCAAATATTCTCATTCCCTACCTCTTCGACTGCAACAACTCTTGAATACTTTACACAACCTTTATTCATCCTTTTTATCCTTTTATCCTTTTGATCCTCTACTTCCACATTCATCAGTACTCCAAATATACTTCCTCGTCCCACCCACCACCTCAACCCCGCCCCTTTCTCTTCATCAGCTTCCGGTACCATACCGAACTCTGAGTTGCACACCGAGAATAAGCTCCCACTCTATTCTTATTCCAGTTCCATATCACTTTTTCCAAATGCGTCGCAGAGACCGTTCAGATGTGCAACAAAACCTTTTGTCGGAGAGAGTCATATGATTTTCATTTTTGTCGCTAGGGAATTGATCGAGCAAAATACTTCTGGTTATGTGAGAGAGGTATAGTATTTATGAGTTCTGGGTATTGAAGCTTTATTTGAAGAGAAAGTAAACTTATTCCCTAATAGCGTTCATGAATATCAATTTCCATCTGCGAGTGCTTCGTAGAATTTATGTGCTGGACGATGCACTTGGATATTTTGATAGGTATGAATATCTGTGGCTTTCAATTGATACCTGGATATATTGAGTTTAATGGAAATCTGATTTTGTTGGAAAATATTGGAATTTGAGTGTATAGCTTTAGTAAGATTACATTTAACATTCCATTTTCATACTTGGGAATAAATCCTCCGTCTTAGAATTGTAGAGATTTGATGAAGATTCGAGACACCAATTCTGATATAAATAGATGCAGATTTGGAGATATATGAAACTGCACGATGACGATTCTTTATATCCGTTCTCCATAGCTAGTTACTAAAACTTACGATCGATGCATGCGTAGTCTGTCTTGATACTCTTACCAGGAGAAGGTGGGATCTTTGATAGCCACTATATATGATGGAATGGTAGCATGATATTGGGGGACTTAGCACAATTCAAGGAAACCCTAAAGAAAGTAAAGTTAAAGTTCATGATGTATATCGTTAGTGAAACTCATAGGCTCGTGGAATTCAGCGACAACAATTTCAATTGCATGAGTGTACTGGAACCTACCGCTTCAGCTCTCCAGACAAATAGATACTACTGACTCCCCCTGCCAACGAAGCATCTCGCATCCTTCCCCTCCACAAACATGTCAAAAGTCACGCCATGATCAACAACAAACTTCACAACATCAAACCAGCAAAAACTATCGAAAATTTGTAGGAAACAAATCTGTTGAATTTAAAGCCGAATATAAAGCTAAAACTAGCAAGATTATTCAAGCCTTCCTATCTATAAAGCTGCCAAAAGCTAGCTACAATAGCGATAGCATATCGGTATCTATTATCTATCAATTTTCCACGCAATCATCAATCATGATTTTCAACAAACGAAATTTTCGTGACCCCGTTCACTCTCTCATTACCCCTCCGCCACAGCAGCATCCTACGCTTAAAAAGGAGAATAGGTATAATCATTTCCCAAATTGCTGAGACTTCCATCTGCATTGCATAAGGAACCTTGCGGCTCGAGGTTGTAGTCGGAGGTGCACATGAACCAGGAATAGCGGGAGACCCAGGAGAGATTATCCATCCAGGGCATGACTTGGGCGATGAAATTTTCTTGCTGGGCTTCTGTGGCTGGGTCCCAGAGAGCGAACTGTGAGGGAGGAGGGTTAGCGGATGATCAGATGAAAGGATGGTTTAGGGCTGCGGATGTGGAGTTGGGATTTGGGGAGAGGGAATGCGGAGGGGGAAATGTGTGTTTAAATGAATGATGATGGAGTAATTCATGGAATGGTGAGAATAGTTTGTTATGGGGAATCGCTTGTAATGGCAGGGAACAATGGACAAGAGAAGCTGCGACAAAGAAAAGAAGGGGATGAAAAGGAAAGAATATCATACCTCAGTAACCCAGATTGGACGATTTCCACCAGCCGCATAAGCAGCACCAACATAGTTATAAAAGTCCGCCAAGTAATTTTGACCTCCAACACTCTCATACCAATGAATTGGCACAAAGTCAATCTGGCAGCCTGTGCATAAGCTCAAGAAAGATTGTAACCAAGGCAATCCGCTAGGACCATTTGTAACTTGGGGAGCACCCAATGCAGCACGGCCTGCAAAAGGTTGAATGTAGGTCTTCCAGGCATTGACAGCTTGTTGAGGGCTCATGCATGATTGACCTCCTCCACATGCATCGGGTTCATTGAATGCCATGATGTGACCGGTACCACGAGCAATGGCAGCATTGACGTTGGCGGCCCAAACGGAGGTGTGATCGGAGGAATCGGACCAGAGACAAGGAATGAATTCCATGGAGGTGGGGAAGGAGGTTGGCATGTAGGAATCCCAGTTCCAGGCCCAGTTGACTTGGGAACCGCCGCCGTTGAAGTGTTGGATGAGGGAGACGTCGTTGAAGGGGACACCTCGCTTAGGCCAGGTGGCGAGAGTAGTTTGGGCGAGGAAGGCCAGGAGGAGAACGGAGAGTTGCATGATGGTATTCATGATGTATATACTGTGATTAATTAGCTCGTGACAGGCCCTGAGGTTGGTAAAGGAGGGATTGGGAATGAAAAGGTGGAACCTACGTTCAGAACTCAAGAAGATCTCTAGGACTCAATCGCTGATGTCTATGATGAAACAAGAAGCTTCTGCGATTAGTTAGAGCCAGGTACGAAGGTTGTGAGGAGGGTAGATTGTTGTTCCATGACAGAGTAATCTGAAGGGTGCAGATGGAGTCTGGATTTGAACTTACTTGATTGTATGCTATAAGAGTAGAATTGGATTGGAGGGGAGAAAAAGAGTAGAGTAGAAGTGCTGTTGGTACTAAAAAGAAAGGAGAGATCAAGGGAAGGGGGGAAGCAGGGAGCTCTTTTATATCCCTTCATAATTATGAGTTAATTGAGAATCTGGAGCTAAAAAATTGTTGAACTAGTTTTGACCAGGGTAGCAAGGGATATTCCAATATTGGAAGAGCTTTTGATGCTGTTGATGCTGTTAATGGGCCGACAAGGTGTTGATATCGATATTGAATCAGCGCTAGGAAAGAGTGCACATGGTCAACTTGCTCAATTGATACTGTTGAAGGGACCCACAAGCTTCTAGCTTAGGTCAAGTTTAGGTGAATGGTTATTTTGAGGGTTGGTGAAATTTTGACTAGTTCCTACGACTAGACATTGACTACTAGGTAGGTAGTAGTCGAATTTATAAAGCTATTTCAGGATGCAAGAGGTATTCAGATGAGTTTATCTTGAGGGCAATGTACAAGATCGGACATAGTTCAACAGTGATATAATCGGATAAGTAGATGAAATGAGGACTGGTTTGATCTTCCTGAGGCTTTAAGGCGGCATTCAAAAGAAATCTCTGCTACCCTTGAGGGAGTTTTCTAAATTAGGGTGCATGGAAACAATTCAAAAGAATTCCCATCTTATCTAGATACACTATGAAACTTTCTGAAGAAAAAAAAGTTCCGATCTCTAGCAGATGCTTCGATCCCGAGTAGTAGTTCTTTTGATATTTTGTGCATCGAGAAATTCTCATATCATTCACTTAAAACTCCATCCAGGTTCGGAGTGTATATTCATCTGGACTAGGATTTTTTTTTGATAGACAAGCGAATGCCTTGATAAACACTAGCTAATAAAGTTCTAGAGAATAAAAACAAATCGATCATGAGTATGACATGCACAAAGAGAGCAAAGAGATGATTCTATGAGATATGAAGGTAGAGGTGAAGCAAGAACCACAGAAAAGAGATAATTGTCCATCAACACAACCATATATCGACAATAGTTGTAGGGTGCATCTAGAGCTCAGTTAAATGCCACTATGAAAACATGAACTGAAGAACAAAGTCAAGAAAGAATTTGTTTTACCAAGCAGACTTGAAAGCAATGAAGAGTTTAGCTTTCAGGCAACAGCTGATAAACATACAACAATAAATATAGCTGATAAGAATCCAAATTTTTGATAACGCTCATAACAGGAAATCTAGCATTGAACACAGTTCAGTCAATGTCAACATCACAGAAAAGTGATGTTTCCCATGATAGTCATGTGATAGATATCACGTGTATGGAAGCATTGGCTCCAGGACTTCTGGATATGTTTCAGCCTTAACATATCAGCCATGTTCCACTCCTAGGAACACCCCCTTCATGGTGCAGAATCCTTCGAGCTCTATATAGGGAAAAAAAATCTCCAATTGATGATTGAGTGGCTGAAGTAGCCCTACCCCAGATTTTCGCATCCCCTTGATTATATTAGTCAAAAGGTTAAAACGACGACTTTGCTAAAACTGTTGATCTCAGGGCATTTCTAACCCATTGCAGAAGTTCGACCTGTCGATACTCAATCATATGGCATTTGAAGATAATCCTCTACGTTTCTCGTAAAATATCATGATTGATAAGAAACAATCAATAAAGGGATGCTGTCGCCCAACTTAGGAGCAACCTTAACCCTCGAATCAGGCTTGACCGCCACACCGCTTTAACCTATAGAGGGTACAAATTATGATGTTCTGAGTCAATAAGGGGGAACTGGCCAGGGGTAAAGAAGCAGGGACAGAGACACATGTGAAGTCCGAGCCATGACTTGGGCACAATAACAATAAAACTGTTAATGAACTTCCCGTTAGAAGAGTATGGGAACATTCAAGTCAACACAAGCCATGAAGGAGTAGGAGTAGGTAAATATGGTGACGGAGTAGCATCGTAGTAGTGTCAATACATGATATCATGTATTACATAATCCATTACAAGCAGAAATCAAAAGTGGCTAAAAGTGGCTAAAGGTGGCCCCGGGGACATCAATGGCCACAGGTGGCTAAAAGTGGCTTGTTCCACTCCATACAGAATGATTTCCCAACGTCACCCAATCAAAATTGATATAAACAAAATCATTCTCCACTTCTCTGATAAGAACATCCAAATCTAGAATTGATGCTTGGGAACCTTGTTATTTAATTGCCCGAGCACTTGAAGTTATTTCTTGGGTTATACCAAAACCTCAATTGATCAACCAACAACTGAGAACCCTGAGCCAAACACAGTAATGGTCACACACTTTTCTGATGAACTGACTATGCATTATCTCAGATCTGTTTGGGTAGAGAGGTGATACAGAAAGCCATAAGGAGATATATCTTGTCCAACATCTCATCCGCACGGCAAAACCACGAATTCGTCCTACCAAAATCATTACCAAGTCACCATGAAGTTTGCAAAGGAATTGGAGCAAAGCCTCGTGCCTGGTATGGTATTCATTGCTATTTACGTATCTTTCAGCCCGAATTGCTCCTAATGATCGTGTAGAATGGCGCGTAAAATACCTCGATTATAAGCAAGGCAAGAAGAAGGTCAAAGCAGTCGCTCGTGCAACCAATCGTACAAATTCAACCCCTCGATCAGATGCGCGAACAAATCTGAATCCTCAAAGTGGCAGTATATACGGTGCTACATCTCCTCTCGCCCCAAGAAAGCCTCAACCGTCTGGAAGGTTTGATGGTACGACCGACCGACCTCAATCAGCTTCTGGGAGGGAAGATGAGGCATCTCACGGAACTGGAGCGGAAACGGCGTCATCGAACCCTGCTACATCGATACCAATCGCAAGCAGGCATGTATCAACAGAACATGCACATGATGGAATGTACGGCAGCTTTGTGCCAACTCCTCCTGCGATGGACATGCACAATTTCGAACTTCCAGATCCAGCGATACAAGCTGACTCTCCCCTCGAATCCTCAGAGCGCATAATGTCCACCGTCACAAGTAGGAAAAATTCTTTGGAGATTGAAGTACCATCAAGAACCCCAGAAAGGAATCCTCTATCAGCCTATCAGAGCGCATATGAAGTAGGTACAACAGAAAGTCCGACTAGACCTAAGTTTGCTTCACTGAGGGCACCCGGGTCGCGCGCTGAATCCCATGATATTCATGGACAGCCGATCCTGAAGCGAATTTTCTCAGTCGGCACTCCCTTATCTAAATCCCACAGTCGTCCTGACGTCGATATGGTTGCCTTTGATCATGTCCGAATACGTCAGCAAGAATTTCTCTCTTGGATGGATAAGGAGCTTGAAAAGGTCGAAACTTTCTACAGGTCCAAGGAGGATGAGGCGGGAATCAGATTACAAGTTTTGAGAGAACAGTTGCATGAGATGCGAAACCGCAGGATACAAGAAGTGGCAGACGCAGAACATGCGAGGTCAATACGTAAAGATGACGAGCGTTCAGTGATGGGAAGGATTTCTCGTGGACATTCTGGAGATGAAGATCTCAACAGGCATCCCTCTCAAGAACATCGAATTGCTTGGCTGGCGCCTTTCGGGAGAATGGTAGATAATGCAAAAGCAACAGCACTGGGGCCACATCCAGGAGCCAACTCTAGGGCATTAGCTAGTATGAGAAACTCACCTGAGTTGCAGTTTAAGTCTCATCCAAACGATGGAGTTGCAACCAACGGCAATCGCGACTATGTAAGACGGCCTTACGAAAACGATGTATCCTATCGAACCGCGAAACGAAAGTTGAAGCTGGCTTTACAAGAACATTACCGAGGTATGGAACTTCTAAAGTCCTATGCGCTGTTGAATCGGACCGCGTTTCGTAAGATCAACAAAAAATATGACAAGGCAACCAATGCGCACCCCCCTCTTCGGTTCATGACGGAAAAGGTTAGCAAGGCATGGTTCGTCAATAGCGATGTACTTGATGGGCACATACATACGGTTGAAGATTTGTACGCACGATATTTTGAAAAGGGTAATCATAAAATTGCTGTTGGAAAATTGCGCAAAACCGTTGGAAAGTCGATGGACCAATCCGGTAGTGCATTCAGAAATGGGGTGCTGATTGGAATTGGTGCTGTCTTTTCGATTCAGGGAATCATCTCCGGCAGTGAATACTTGGATCACCCTGATCCCACGATCCGATTTCAAACCGGCTATCTGCTGCAAATATACGGTGGTTACTTTCTCGGTTTATATTTATTTTCATTATTCTGTTTCGATTGCAGTGTCTGGACTCGACACAAAATTAACTACAAATTCGTTTTCGAATTTGATCCTCGGCATGATCTGGATTGGCGGCAACTTAGCGAATTTCCAGCATTTCTTATCCTTCTATTCGGACTGTTTTTGTGGATCAATTTCTCTGGCTATGGGACACCAGAAATGTTTATATACTATCCCATCATTTTGATTTTCGTGACAGTCATGATAATATTTATGCCTGCCCCTATAATTTTTCACAGAAGCCGGAAATGGTTTGTTTATTCTCATGTAGGTCTCTCATTATCATTTTACTACATACATTTCGTACTCACCTATAATAGTGGCGTTTACTTTTGGCTGGATTATACCCCGTAGAATTTAGAGATTTCTTCTTGGGTGATATGTATTGCTCCCTCACCTATTTAACGAGTGTAAGTTTCTCCGTCGAATGAATCATAGATCGAATCTCACACATTGAACAGAATATAGAGCTCTTCTTCTGCCT